CGTAAAATGCACTCTGCTTTTAGCTGAGATTTCTTATGATTATGGTGTTGTCACTTTTATCTATTACAAAGCCTCTACTATAGCTAGATGGGGAGTATACTTCCTTGTCTTGATAAACAAGGAAAGGTCGAACGGATTTGCAACGAAAAGGCGAAAGATCACAAACACTTCCTGACATTCAACACAAGATTAGTGTTTATTTTGGGTGAAATGGTTCATAAAGACAAATGTTCAATAAATTACGTATATTTTTGCATGATTTCAATTATCTTACACTAAACACCATGGTGTCATTGAGGTGGCCTGGGGGTAGTTTCCGCATAAAGATATCGATTCTGTATTTGGAGAGAACTTCATCGCTAAGCACCTAACAAGGAACAGACAGACAGTCAGAGAGTCAGACAGACAAACGTGTTCATTCAATATTTCGGCCTGAGTACAATTCAGTGAACAGAATAAAGTTGGTAGTCACTGACATGGCATTAGCTAAACTAACAACTCTTTGAAATCTTATAGAAAATGTGTATGATAAAGATGGCTACTGACTTAATAGTACATCATTTGAGTTGAGTAAATTGTACATGGTGATTTACGTATGTATTTTGTAAATGTGGCAAATATTTCATTCTTTGGGAAGCAGTGGCATCGCAGATAAACAGAACATCGTACTCGTCTTCAATGGACCCAGATTTACAATATGTACAACTAATATCTGAATAGTCTATGTGTCTTTGTTCTTCCTAATATCTTGTATTTGTAAACAATGTAAAGCGATTTTAAACTTACACATCGCTCGTAGAAGGGATTTAATCATATAATGTTACATATTCCTCAGGTTCAAACACATTTAATGGAAGCATGATGTGAAAGAAAGTGAGAGGATCTAATACTTTCCGACCAATTTTGATATCAACGAGTCTTTGTTTAAAGGAAGAAACAAATGATAACTTATTCCAAACAGGAATACCACACAAGAAAATAATGGTATTCTGACATCGGATGCCCATGTATGGTTGCCATGGTTATCTAAAAATACCAGCGATCGGTAACTCTGGTAAGGGTAACGACAATGTGGTATACGTATACGTTTAATCCGATATTTAATTACTTTTATCTGGGTTTGGACAATTAGAGTCTTCCCTTGTTTAACTTTTTTTGCAGCAAACTTTCCAACAGCAAGAATTTTCTTTAAATTGACGCATCAACATTTTCAATTTCTTTAAATACCCGGTGCCCCAAATGTCTGCACCATATACCAGAATTTATAATATATTTGTTTCAAAATGTGTTACTGGCTGTTGAAAGTGTAACATACTTGTTGTTTTTAAATAGTCCATAGATTGGGAGTAATGCTTTCTTGGCATGAACAGCAAGCGTTTTGCAGGCCATTGACTAATTTAACCGTTAGGAAAAAAAATTAAACCTAAATATTTATAATAGGAAGCAACTCTCATATTTGCATTACGAAACGACGATCTTTCCTTTTGCGCAACTTTACCACCATTTCTAAATACAACCTTTTTTAACTTGTTAAGGATAAGCTCTAGCCCCCAAGTGTCACAAAACTGCTGTTGAGCGTTCAGTTGCTTGCGGAGGCCATTCACTGTATAAGAAAGCACAACTATATCAGTAAAAGTAGATCATTAATTTCTTGAGTTACAATTATCCCATTACTGCATGTCTGATACATAGCATTACCAAATGCATTCATAAAGAAAATGAAAAGTAGTGGACTCAGGATGCAGCCCTGTCGCACACCTGATGTGGTCTTAAACGTCTCTGTCGCGCCAGAGTTAGTTTTCACACATGCAGCCACTGACTCATACATGCTCTTTAAAATTAAATACATTCTTCCATGACATCCTTCAGTATTGGAACATTCACTCATTGAATGAGTGAATCACATCTTACCCAAGTTTGCATAGGACTATATAGTAATTGCATTGTACGTTTAGGTTTGGAAGCGTGCGTACGTACATATCATAACAGTAAGGACACAGAGGTGCGTTTGGATGGAGCCGATTTCGCACTCGGCAAGTGTACCTGTAAACAAACAAGCAAACAATATTTATTTCTCAAGAACATTTATTCCGTTTCGGAATATGTTTATATGCCTGATTTTATTGAGATGGACTGTTAACATATTCCGAAACTAAATAAATGTTCTTGACAAATAAACATTGTTTGTTTGTTTGTTTGTTTGTTTGTTTACTGGTACACTTGCCGAGTCCAAGGTCAAGGATATATGGAAGGACAACTCTTGTCACAGCTCTGAAGCAGACGTCATCGGTACTAGAGTCCCCCCACAATGCACCGGTGATTATATTCCCTACAGTGACCTAGCACGACAGTGCCGAAGGTAATGTTCAAAGACTGGCCACTAGTGAGTTTGTCGGGGTTACTTTTCTTTAAAGTCGCACTCAGCAAAGTTCCAGCTATATGACTAGACAATCAAGTGACACCATGAGCATCGATCTGCGGAATTTGGATACGATGTCGTGCATCAACCAGGTTACCGAGCCTGACCACCTGATCCCGTTAGCAGCATGGGTTGCTGAAGACCGAAGCTAACCTAGATATTGGAATATTGCTAAAAGCTTCGTAAAGTCCAACTCACTCATTTTGTGCCATATTTTCAATACAAATACACAACCCACGCAAAATTTGGAGGATTTTGTGCATTCATTTGGCACTTGTGTGTTGACACTGTGATAACAAAAATGCAACAATGCATTAATGCGGGCTACCTGAGCAGGAGGTTACTCAGATGGTGACAGGTAACACTGCAACACATATAGCTTACCAGTTTACGGTGCTGTGTCAATATGGCTGTTATCGAGATAAAGTTTGTCATTGAAACGTTTAATTCGTTGTTCAAAGTGATCAAATTATTCATTGAGGAAACATTTAATAATTTTAGTGGGAAATAATTTGAGATTTGACTTTTCCTTCCTTATTTATATATAAAAGTTTGCAGAATATAATGAACACCACTCAATATTTCATCTTCTATTTCTCATACTCTTAATTAACAAGGGGTACGGGTGACCCGGTCGTCTATAAGGCGCCGCAATTCGCTGTACAGAGTTACGTCCCTTGGGCACGCCTGAAACCTATAATCGTGGGTTCCAATCCCGGTTCGCCTCGATTATGTTTCTAGGGTTGTCAGCACCAAACCCGTGGTTTGGGGTTTTACCAATATGCAAATGTCTGAGATCTGCATCACTTCGGACCTTCCTCCTCCATTAGGCTGACACGCCGTGTGTAATTAGAATACTGTTCAAAGTGGTGTTAAACCCAGTTCACTCACTTAATTGTCCCGTGAAGATCTGGATAAGAGGCGACTCTGCTTGCGCATGAGGCTACTAATGGGATGGGGTCATCAGGCTCGCTGACTTGTCATCGTATGTCATCGTTTCCCAATTGCGTAGATCGATGCTCATGATGTAATCACTGGATTGTCAAGTGGTTTGTCAAAACCATACTTGTGTTCATAGATTTCACCAACAAAGTAAATGTGTAAAGCTTGACCTTCCCCACACTTAAAGCCGACATACTGTTTTACAGGGGTGTCAAACACAAGTCAACTCACTCACTCAAAACCAAGTAGAAAATACATTTTACGCATAACAATATCACGTCCAAACATAAACGCCAGCTAGGTAAGATATTAACATTTGTTATACTCACCGCCAAAAGAAACGCGAATACCATACATGTTGGTTAATATATGAGTGAGTTAGTGAGTTGGGTTTAACGCCGCTTTTAACAGTATTCCAGTTATATCACGGCGTGTCAGCTTAATGTTGGAGGAAAGCCCGAAGTGAGGCAGGTCTCAGACGTTTACCACTTCGGTGAAACCCACGAGCACAGGTACGGTGCTGACAAACCTAGAAACATAATCGGGGCGAACCGGGATTCGAAACCACAATCATAGGTTTCTGGCGTGCCCAAGGGACGCAACTCTGCACAGCGAATCGCGGCGCCTTAAGTGTTGTGTGAACCGATGCTCATGAACGTATGACAAAGTCTTCATGCACCATTTGTCTTGTGAAGGATTAGCGTGTAAAGTTTGGAAATCAATTGCAGCATGTGGTGATAAGAATAAAGTCATTTAATGGTAACACTTGGCTGATTGTTAGTAGTGTTATTAATTGGTACACATTGGAAACCTCTCTTCTTAACGTACATGTTTCTATGGTTCGCGTTTCTTTTGGCGGTCAGTATACATGTATATAAAATATATTTCAATTTTCGATAGATATATTTTTAATTTTTAATTTACATAGTGTATGCTTTATGTTATAGCATTTGACCAAAAATAAATCAGAAGAACGAGAAACTTATTTGTTATGGTATTGTGCGGGTTTATTCGACACAATAGAAAACATGATATGTAAAATTGTTGATGGTTTACATGAATCAATACCTTCGATTTCCTAAAAACACTTATTCACTTGAATATTCGCCCATTTCGCTGCAATGGATATTACAAGAAATTTGGTCAAATGAACATGATTAATATTTCCGTTACTACTGTATACATAGAAGTTAATATTTTGGATGAATTTATTATTTTTCCGTTTTGTGTATTCATTTAAACAAATTCACCCATGACATAGGGGAATGTTTCATTCTGATTGGTCAAATTTAGGTATCATATGTCCATTTGATACCTCTAAAATAAAGCCTATTCAGAATTCACATAATGGTACAAATATGCATTAAATAAATAAATATCATAATTGTAACCGATATATGTGTATTTCACTCTTGATTCAGAAGATACTTTTAATTGAAAGCATATACTCTGTGTCACACATTCCTGACCAATATGCCACGTGTTCGAATTGTGACTGACACTCAAAATCGTTAATGCATGATGTATTTTCCGAAACAGAAATGCGTCAATTGTTATTTTGGTCCCGATGAGTGAGATGAACATAAGTAAAGAACGACAACTCTCGCGGAAGTTATTACAGTGTATGCGCATGCGCTTGCGCCATTTTCATAGGATGATCAGGAAAATAATGTTTTGTGATAGAATTTTTCGATCCAGATTCAAACGAGTTACAAGACGAATGATTTAGTTACATTATATATGGAGGAAGAATATTATTTAATCAACTGTGCCAAGGTAGGTGAAAATTGCAAAAGTGATTATTGTGTAAACGTCAACAAAGTGACGACAGGCGAGACACCGTTCCTCCGTGGGGCAAGTGCCTGCCAAATATTTGCAAAACAAATTTCACTGTGCTTCAAGAAGTACGTTAATGACATTTCTGACAGTAGTCGTAATAGGTCCTGCATGTGCTCGTCTAACACGAATACAGTAAAACGATTCAATGTATGTGATAGCACCGATATGCGGCTACTGTTATATATGCTATGACCTATATGATCAAAAGTAAACAGCTAATCTTACCCAATGTCCGATCAGACGGGAAATTATGACATCTTGTGTTTTCCGAATGTGGCATACATAGACACTTATCAGAAACACTTTTCAAATAGTCAGAGTAATGCAAAGGAAGTTTTGACAGTTAACCTTTTCTTTGATGAGAGGTAGAGACACACCTTGTCGATCGGGAAGTCAACTGGTCATGCATCTTTAGATTTGGGATCCATTTAAATTTTAACAACCATCCTAAATGATCGTACGGGTTGTTTAGATGTTTGAAGTCATGAGCCAATTTGATTTTCACATGCATAGAATGGAATTTACTTCTATGAAATGTGAGAATCATTAAAACAGAAAAGGGTGAATTGATGATTTGGGTCGAATCATAAGAAGGAGGTCTAAGTTACAATATTGACACACCTAACAATGTAAAATACATGCTAATATTTATATTCCTTCAGGATGTGGTGGATAACAAGTGTATAAACAACTGTTAACTTTGGTTGATAATTTAAGTACAAATTATGTTTATAAGTCAATACTTACAAATAACATTGATATAGGTTTTACATCAATACATGTTTTAGGGTCACATTCAAATACTAAATGTCTGTATCAGTAAAGGAACTTTATTTTAGTTATTGCAGAAATAAAATGGCAGCAATACAAGTCATCTTTCATGAATTAAAAGCACTGTATCCAGAAGTACCCGATGAGGTTGTCAACACAATAATGCAACAGGTGAGTAAACTTAGGGGTGTGATTGTTATTTTGATTGAATTAACACTGATGATTGATCACTTATTGTTGATTGGGCATGTTTATTCTGTTAATTTGCAATCTGTATTGATTTGTCAACTGTTTCGTGACAACTGAGATGACATTTGCTAACTTATCATAGTTGGATCTTGAAATTAAAACAGGACAGAATAATAACACTTCATTGTCTCCAGAGCCATCAGTGTTGGTGTATTGATGAAATACAGATTGACTTCATGACAGTTGTAAACCTTTGATAAAGATACATCAGTAAACATAAGGATTTTACGTGAGTTCTTATTCTTTACCCACCAATTCACAATGAATTTATCTAATTTTATCTTTGTCTTTACTGTTGGACAAAATTAACATTCTTAAGTTGTCTTTTTATATTATTTGATCTAATGGCTATGTTATTGACATGTTAATTCCTTAGAGGTAAAATGCAGTACAGATACGTGTTCATTTGTTGTGTGTCATTCGATTGGATTAGTGTTAAGAGTTTTTCTCAGTGAACATGGTGAATTTACAAGATGAAAGGTTGCAGTTGTAACAATAGCATGTAGCAGTGCCACAAATTTTATGCATATATCGAATAGTCATCAATTAATTAGTTTTCAGATATTATTCTAATTGCTTGTATAAAATAGCTGAGTATTTCAAATATTAAAACAGCATTGGATGGCAAAAATATGACAAGATGACATGTAGGAAAGCGCTTCCTGATACTGAAGGTATTCTGAAATTAATGCTTTTGGACAGTGCACCACTGATTGGGATAATTACAGATTTGCAACTTGTGGTGTTTGACATTGATTCGGGTACTCTTAGCAAGCAAGTTTGGTTTTAATTCATTGCTTATTCAGTAATGTTCAAGCAACGTGAATTTGGTGATATGGATATGGATTTTTCCAGTCTCTGAGAGATTTTATTGTTTTACAACTTTTATAGATTTTTTTTAGGGTCCAGGGTTTTACACGATGCAGAAATGTGTGTCCGCTACTCACAAATGTATAGAAGGGATGCAGAAAAATATATATGTTGCACCCTGAGGGACGCACAATAATATTCATTGTACCAAATTCTTGACAAGGTATATAAAGTTCCTGTAATTAAAGTAATTATTAAATATTACACTTAGTTAGTTACAGCACACTTCATCATTTCTTTACTTTACATGACTCACATATTTCCTGTAAGGACCCTTGAAATTAGTATTTGGGGGTCATCTGGACCCCTAGTTTTGTCAAGGTAAAGCTCTCTGATCTGGCATAAAAATAATTGACCTGTTGTTTGTTTTGGTGACAAAACTTATCATGTTTAGTAGATAATTATGCTTAGAAATGAAAGATTGCTTGACCTTGTTGTATTGACGTCCAAGTGAGTGTCCAAGTTAGAAATCATGTCTCATTTCTTTCACTATTTACATACCATTATGTATTTTTGTAGGCACAAATATTGATCAGGTTTAGCATGTTAAATTTGTTTAGAAAATATGTACTTACAATTAAATAATGCCAACATTTTCCTAAAGGCAGTCTTTCTTTTTTGTTTTGGTCAGTGTAAACCTAAAACTTCAAAAGGTATTGCCTAAAAGGTTGAGAATTTGTTGGGGAGTCCCTAGATTTAGTACGGTCAGCAAATCTCAAGCATGTCAAAGTAATCTTCACTGATACACTCATATGCTCACTGACACTCCTGCATTCAACGTATGTATTGCAGGGGAACTAACTCTTTTTTGTCAGCACTCACCCTACTAATGATCTTATATAGAAAAAGTACAAAACGTAAAAAATAACACCTGAACATGCATAAAGGATACACAGTACAATATGCTGTGGGCTATAAGTTGACTGCTTACTACAGTAACGCCATTAAAGTGGGCTCACATGTTTTAACACCTAATGTCATTTGAAGAAGAGTTTGGTCCATATTCTGTTAATTAATGTCAAGATTAGTGTAAAAATGATAATCATACATTAAAATATTTAATGTGAGTGTGAATATTCCGGTAATTATGAACTATTCTGGTTGTTTTAAGTTGGTTAAAAAGTAATTGTTGGTTTCTGTCCTCACCACCCTGAATGTTTTTATCTAATTTTTTTAAAAAATGAAATACTGATTTTCTTCATCTGTATGCATGCAGAAACCTATGATAGTGGGTTTTGAATCACATATTTGCCCTGATTGTCTCTAGGTTTGTCAGCACCAGGCCCATGCTTGTTGGTTTATCCAAAGCAGTAAGAGTCTGAGAAAGCACTGCAGGCTTTCCTGACACATGAAGCCGATATGCCGCGATATAACCAAACAACTGTTCATAGTGGCTTTAAAACAAATCACATAGGGACCATGACATATGAGGCAGGCAGAGATAAAAATCTAATTGAAAATTTGTTTTTATATTTGTACCTAAGTTTTCAGCATTTAACCATGTTAACAGTAAACCAAATGCATGTTTTTGTCTGTTGTCTCATTTTATTTACCTTTGTATTTGTACCTTTGTTTATTATCAGTCTTCTACCTATTTTGTTTTGTGTCTTTTTTTTGTTAGTTAGTATTATCATAGTTATAGTTGTCCTGGCATGGTAGTTTGTAGTAGTAGTAGCTAGATTTTGCTGACATTCACAAGCATCATAATGCACACACATTTATTTTCATCACGTGTGAAACATTTTCTTAGGCTGCAGTTATGCATGAACAGTGATGAACATCTCCACTCACAATTTCAACTATTAGTATAGGATTTCATAAAGTCTTGTCATTTATCTTTTCATAACACTTCCATCATGAAATCCCCCACCACCTAACCAATTCCCCGATCACTGCTGATGCCCTGTGACAAATCCTTGCTATCACACAAGACACCTTCCTGGCCTGTGTTTTGTTCTTTTTATCTGATTGATTTGATTTTGTCATTCATCTGTGTCCTAATCTTTTGAAACACAAAATTTGTATAATGAAACATAGTTAGAACTCCTATCTGTGTTCTTGCAGTTTTGAGTTTCACATGTATGTCATCTGAATGAACTCTTCTATATGTGCATCCTGAATCAGTCATCATGTTGTTAACAGTCTCTATGTGTTTCTTCGGGCTTATTTTGTCTTAATAATATTTCTGAAGGCTTTGTTTTAATTAGATTAAGAGATAGAAAAACTTGAAAATATTGTCTAAAATTGTCACTTAATTGTCTTGTTTCAAGAGGATTGTTCCAAGGTTAGAGGAACTGCTGGGATATAATGTATTCGGGGATTTGCAAGTGTGTACCCCAGTCTTTCAGGGTACTATGTATACTTGTGTCTTCTTGTACTCTGAATATCTTACGGACATTTGTTGTGTAAACATGATTCATATCTCATCACTGCACTAATTCCACGGTGGGTACAGGGTTTAAACATTGTTAAAAGTTTGGTTAATCCCTTTCTGCTCTATGGTTCATACACTCAGAACATGCCAAAAACGTTTCAATCCAATGGTCAGCCATTGCCACGTTTTTCTAGGTACATTATTAATCATGTTAATATTAAATTATACATGATATATTGACTTTTATTAGCTTAGCTTACTGGACCAAAGTAAACTTGGCCAGACCCGGAAGTGAGACTAGTGGCAAGGGTCACAAGCTGTCTCATTATCATGATTGTGTTACATCAACATTGTTTCTGTACGGCACATGTTTCGGTCAATAAATGAATTGTTCATTATTATAAGAAATTCTAAACTTTTTTTAGTTGATATTGGGATATTATGATAACTAACAAGTCATCAGACTTATTATGTGTTATTATGGAATTAACTGGTACTGAGAACTAGCTGCAAACATGAACCATTGTTGTCTTCCGATGAAGTAACACCCATATAATCTAGAGATTGTTCACAAACTAGTTTTTATGTTTGCAAAGTCTGATATTTCTGTTTAACTTTAAGGTTGCAATATTTGCAGAAAAATTTATTCACAGCACCGTTTGTGTGGTTATTTTTTGATGGGTCCATTTTTCTCTGCACTCTCCGGGCCTCTAAACCTACCCAGGGTGTCATTTAGTGGTGAATCATGTTTACAGGACAATAGGCTGTCATTCATGGTATATTGAGGACACGCAGCGTATGCACTATCTTAAAGGATTGAGGCTGTGTGGTAAGGACCATTTTCTCTTTCTTGCTGTCAGTTGTAGGATAAGAGTCCTGTGTTATTTTGCAGAATGGCAACGATAAAGAAAAGTGTCTGCAAGCCCTACAGTCATACAGTGATAGTTATTTGTTTGGAGGTCGAGGACCGAATGACCAGGTTTCTCGTAGACCGCAAGAAGTGCATATCACACACGAAGAGACTACAATCCCTGGACCCAGTCAACACAGATTCATTTCTCGGAATCGGGACACAGGGGCAGACATTCACACAAGTATATCATGGCCAAGTGACCTTACGAACAGTGTAAATATGGAACATGGGAGACAATCCCCTATTACTGCACCGGTATTGCCCCAAGACTTTGCCCCTTTTGTTCAGCAAAATGCGTCCCAATCCACCCGACAAATCCCTAATATCAATTGTACAACGTATGGAGGAACAGACAGTTCAGGTACTGCTTCCCCTCAGTCAACGGGGAGTCCGTCAGAAGGGCGGCGTGCTGTGAGAGTGTATCATTACCCTTCTCGGTCCCCAACAACGCCCCCTGTCAGTTCCAATATCTCCCCCAACCCCAACCAACAACAGTATGTGTATAGGATTCAATTCGGTAAGGACAGTGGGGGGATGTGTACTGTTGCACCCCAGTCCTCCTCTATGCAGAATCTGCAATCTTTACCCACTGCTGTGAATCAACAAGGACAATATTCGCCTGAAGCAGGACCTCAATCCTATGCAGGCTCTACAGCACATGTATCTAATCAATACACACATTCTTCACAAGCTACAATCTTTATTAATAAGAACAATAATAACGGACAAATTAGCCCTGAAAGGCCTGGAAATAGGACTAACAATTACTCCGCCTTCTCGCGTGATCCGAGATTGGGTGTGCAGGTGCCCATGAATGCCACAGGGCCAACGTCCCCAGTGCCAGGATATGGGGGAGTTCATCCGATTCCACAAGGATATAACAAACCTTTATCTGTGACAATTCGAGCATCTGGACCAGAAGGGGCTGAAACAAAAGTGCGATATTTCCCATCAACACCTGAGCGCTCAGGGCCAGGATACCAGTTGTCCGGGGCTCACTCCCCAACCCGATATGGAGTAAGTGCTCATCCCTCCAACCACCTCCCAGGCCAGTATGCGACAGCTTCTCAGTCTCCTTTCCATGTACAACAGGCGCCAAACCAAATATCTGTTGTCAACACAACTTCTTCAGCTTTCATAACCCCTACGCTACCACGCTTTCCTTCACCTAGTATAGCACAACCGGTCATTCCACTGCTGGGAGCTCAGGCTAGTAGTGAACATGGTAACCTTATATTGCAGGAGACAGACACAGGGCATCATATGCCCAACTACCCTACTATGTCACCTGCTTCTAGTCAAAGCAGCTTGAGTGATGAATCTTCTCGAAGTGATTACAACCATCGACAGAGGTCGGGAAGTCTTCAGGATGAGGTGGAATACACACAGGGTAAGGGATAGTATGTCTCGCTATGCCTCCACATGTATTGGCAAGCCTCAGGTTTTAATCTTTTAGCTATTCATGTTACATATTGGGTACAGAGGCACTCAGGTGAGACTCTCCATGTAGACTTTTTACATTTCACATCAGTCCTTTATTTCATCATGTTCATGATCGAACTACAACTATAATTGCATCAAAATCTCTTGACAACTATAATTGTTTAAAAAACTGAACTGTTTCTAAAAAACTTGATTTATGCCCGAAACAACCTGCATTGATGTTTTGATTAGATTAAACATTAATCTCAAGCCTGATCATGCTTATCAAATACAGACTTTTCAACGTACACAAAATGTTTGTATTTTTTAATAGTGTAAACTTGAATTGCTCCATAAATATTTCATAAGTTCCAAAAATATTGCTTTTTCCATTTGATAAATAGCATTAGCACTATTACTATTAGGAGCCAGACGTCTTAATTAAGAAAGAATTTTGAAGCCTGCCTCAAAGTACGTGATCTAGACTACCAGTTGTCGGACTTTCATTTTTGTGGAAGCCTTGGTGGCTGAGTGAGTTAGATCGCTCACTTGTTGTGCTAGCGATTAGGTGCCCCACTCTGGCAGTGTGGTTTCAAATCCTGGACAGGACTAAAAAAAAAAGTACTAGAATCTGTACTGTACTAAGCATTCTAAGAAAGTGTTATCCCAAATATGAGATTTGTTAAATTTGATCACTTTCTAAATGGCAATTGTGTTTTCATAGCTTTCGGCCATGGGAGCCGTGCCAATTTACTCTTGTCAGAGGGGTACACAAAGTATGTGGTCTAGAATTCCAGTTGTCAGACTTTCAATCTTGTGGAAGCCTTGGTGGCTGTGTGGGTTAGGTCGCTGACTGTGTGTGCTAGCAATTAGGTGCCTCATTCTGGCAGTGTGGGTTTGAATCCCAGACAGGACTGAAAAAAATATGAGAATAAGTACTTTACTGAGAAAGTGTTATCCCAAATATAACATTTGTTAGAAATGAATTACCACACACACATCAACCAGACTTCTCAAGCTTACTCTTCCAATCCTGTTTACTGTTATGATATGGCTTGTGTATCAGGTGCTTGTTTGTGGTATTCTAAACATCATGTTGATCCAGTCTTTATATGTTTTCAGCATTGCTAGCACACCAAAATTCTCGGATGGGTCGGTTGAAGAATGATTATGAAACTGAGCTTCAAAAATTAGAGAAGTTACGGGCTCAAGTGTCTCAAATGGAGAAGAATATGCTGGAAAGGAGAAGTGCTCGAAGAAACAGTTTTCCAGGGGTATGACAATATTCTTCTATCAACACCAGCCAATGTGATCAAAGGGAGATAATTATAGGATTGGATTACCTCCCTTAGTTTTTAAATGATTTTGTGAAGTTGCTAAATTGTTCAATACTTCACATAAATTTAGTTCTTATGGTGTCTCTTGGTTGATCTCTGGTTACCATGGTACAATTGGCACATATGTGTTTAATTTAATCACACTGAAAGTTCTTATTCCAAAATGTACACCCAACTTCAAAATATTTGCCTCTTCCAAATGAGTCCATGCTAGTTTTGTATCTTTGTTTAAGTAAGCATGGTAGGTTGGTCAGTACTTTACAGACTGTTTCTTTTCAGCATGTTCAGTATTTTGATTTCAGAGAAAAAGTCTTACTGAACAACTAATACAGACATTGGGAGTTACCCAAGTTACTGTTTCTGTTGATTTTCAATGTGATTGATTATCCAGTTGTTGTGAATATAAATTGGCTTATGTTGTTTGTAATCAGGTTGACGATATAGGCAAGATGCGGCAAGCTAATAGAAAACTTCAGACAGATATTCAAGTGATGGTCAATGAAATAGACATGTATAGGAATGGCCAGAGTGAGTATCTACGTGATCCACACACATCTTCTTTCTGGGTGCTTATCGTGATGCTTATTGAATAATGGCCAGGCAAAATGTATGGTATGATGTTTTGTTTTTTCAGTCTCGCACCCATGCTTGCCGTAACAGCCGACTATGCATGTCATGAGAGGTGACTAACAGGATCTGGTGGTCAGGCTCAAGCGGCCAGGCTCGCTGACTTGGTTGATGCATGTCATCGTATCCCAATTGTGTGGATGATGCTCGTGATGTTAATCACTGGATTTTCTGGTCGATTATTTACAGACTGCCGTCATATGGCTGGAATATTGCTGAGTGCGGCGTTAAACAACAAACAAACAAACCTTGGTTACATGGCCCCGAATATGTTTAAAAGTAATATTACAGTAACTCAAATAGATGCATATTTGGGACTTACCCTTAGCATATTTAGTCCTTCTTAGTATCATATGAATAATCTTGATAACCCTGATCACTGGGTTCAAGAAAGAAAACGCAGCATTTTTCTCCAATAATGTGTTCTGTTAGTTTCAATTTGGAGCTATTAATATACATGAACTTTTAGATCTATGAATAATTTTGTCCTGTTTTCTTTAGAATAAAGTTTTATTGAATGAGATGTTCTGTATAAGTATTTTAAAACATGTAATTCATGGAATTTGGGTACTCTGTTTCAGCACCGTTTAGTGTAATAGACCCTATCGGCCAACAGAATTTTTTCAACAACATACCCACTGGACAACATGTCCATCGGAATTCCTTCAATGCTAATCGGCCCTCGGACCGGACTAGTGAGTGTAAGTAATGCCAGTAACTTGTCTGTTACTATGGTTACAGCTGTCAGATAATAATCATCAACTAGTATTAGCCAAAGAGTGTGTAAGTTGCAAGGGTGGGTCAGAGGTGTCCAGAGTGCAGGGTTGTGTTCCTTAGTCATGCCAGGATCTGCTGGCCGTATGGTTCAAGTCCCAGATCCTAGAATCTGACCCTTGATTTATCAGTAACTATCATAAGAGGCGACTAAAGGGATGGCTGTGCAGAGATGCATCCCTTGGGCATGCCAGAAACCTATGATTGTGGGTTTGAATCCAGGTTCGCCACGATTATGTTTCTAGGTTTGTCAGCAACATACCCGTGCTCGTGGGTTTCATCGAAGTGGTAAACGTCTGAGACATGCATCACTTGGGGCTTTCTTCTCACATCAAGCTGACACGCCACGATATAACTGGAATACTGTTAAAACAGCGTTAAACCCAGCTCACTCACTCAACATTGTTCTGGGAGTAGTGATGCAAGTAATTTTTACAACTGGTAATAATTGAAATAGACAAACACACCATTTTGAGTATAACAGTTCACATGGCCTTAAGGTCTCAAGCTCTCTTATTGCTACCACTATCTTAACCCCCATCCTTACACATGGACTTACCATGGTGCTTACACTAAGATTGGTGGCGGTGGGGCAGCCTAGTGGTTAAGGCATTTGCTCATCACTCTGAAGGCCCAGGTTTGATTCTCCACATGGGTTCACATCCTCTATATCTCCAGGGCTCACCTTTTGGTAAACCTACACAACCCCTGGATCCATTCCCGTGGTTCTTGAAATCTCAATTACCCGCCCCTGATTTTTTTTAGCCATATGATTGGCCATGCTACCAAGTCTAACGTACCAATCAGAATGTGAGTTACAAACCAGCCTCAATGTTAGGTTGGCGATATCAACAACATGGCCGTCAACCCCATTGATTACGATAGTGTTTGCGAGAAATTCAACATTGAAAAATTGACTGACAAGCATGGAAAGAATCTTCATTGTCTTCATGTCCATTAAAACTGACTGTAGCTTTGGCTTCTAGGCAGTGCAAGTTACCTGCCTTGCTTATTTCCTTTTATTTAATTTGATTGGTAAAATGTTAATGAAAATCAAGGGCAGGTAATTTACGATTGTGAAAATCTTGGGAATGGATCCAGGTATTAGTGTAGGTTTCAGTGTTAGAAATTGGCACTAGTCCTTGCCAAACTGCCCTATAGTTAAGGTATCCTAATGACTAGTAAAAATACTGAAAACTAACTTTGAATGATGAAGCATACGTTTAATTGATTGATGTCAAATCATAACTTGTATCTTTTGATGCCATAATGTAAGCTCTTGTACAACATGTACAAAGAGCCTGTGGCATCAATGTTCTGAAAATAAATATTGAATATTGAACTATGTCTTTCTCCACAGCTCCACCACCTGTTCCTCCCAGAGAGAGCCTCAGTTCTGTTCCCCCTGCCCCTCCCACACAACCCCCTGCAGGGTCAGGGGACTCGGAAGAGGGGGAACAGTGGAGTTGTTCGGCATGTACGTTCCTGAACCACCCTGCCCTCAACAAGTGTGAGTGCTGTGAGATGCCCCGAGTCACCACAGGTAATGTCCAGCCCTGCCATATACACTCGGCAGAGCTGTGCTACTGCCATCACTGATACTGTACCAAATATTACCCACAGCATTGGAGCATCACACTAGGTGAAGGTCTCATTGTCTCAGCACATCTTACACTGGAACCCACAGCTCTGGGAATGGGGTTTGGCATTCAGTGATCTCTTGGGCAACATTTTGGACCTTTTCAAAAATCAACTTCCAGATTAGTGCTACTACTAATGTGTTAGTAAAAAACAAACAAGTTTTAACACAGCATTGCAAGATACCAAAAAATTATTATTTTATTTTTGTTAGAGTAAAAATTTTATGTATAATTCAACATTTCTTAGAAACAGTGGTGATAAAATTTTGTGTGTGTTTTTCATTTCACCTAATCGAAAAACAGCCGATGTAAACCAACTAAAAGAATATATGGCCTTATGTTGTAGTAGTGCACTGAGATAAGTTTGAATCGAAACCTAACTCATTGTTATGGGTTCCAAGTTTAAGATGCTGTGAAAACTTGCATTGTTTTGGGATGCATTTATCCTGTTAATCATCCATCATGTTGTTGCAGAAATTTACATGTCGATGATGTTCGGCCATCATGTAGCTTATTTTATTCCAGTACCTTATGCAGTGATCATTGCTCACTTTCTCTGACCATTGTGCAATTATGAAGCTGATTGTGATCTGGCTGCCTTGGTTGTAGATCCATGTCATTCTGAATGACTTGTTTTGAGTGAATTGTTATCTTTATCATTTCCATGGTCGACCAACACAGGCTTGCATATGCTGGGTTCTTCATTTGTAGTGGAACTTGGTGTATGCCTGACTGTTCTGGACTGACAATGCAATCATTTGTGGCAATTTTATGCAATGCAACTCAATTATATATTTTGTGATGCTGAGTATGAGAACTGGTGACTTACATTTTGGCACACCCTTTGATCCGGGGTGGTATGACAAAGACATTTGGAGACAAATTGTAATATTTATTTTTTAAAGAGATTATGAACATTTCAAGGATCTGTTGCTATATTTGATTTTCAACTTCATTGATGTGTGTCCATCTTGGTACCTGTATCATGACTGCTGAAGTCAGCGTAAATCAATCATATACCCTCTCACAGATGAAGTAAGAGTGTATGGAAATCGAATTATCTTTGTGATAGAATGTTGCAAATATGATTTCACTGTTGTCAAAGTATATATGAGGTTGCATTAATGGAGTTGCTAAATTAAATTGATAAGCAATATCATTTGGGGCAATATGGTTCCTCTCATGGATTTTTGGTATAGATATGTGATGGATTTTCTTAGTCGCACGTTGACCAGGTGAAACTCTTTCAACAGTGGCTCCATGGCATGTGATACTCCATGGGTTTGTCATTGAAAGAGTTAAGTACTGTTTGGTGATGAAATTATTGCATTTCGATGTCTTTCCTTTTTGTTTAGTTAACAATGTGTTAACCAAGTTCAGTGGTAGCTGCTTCATGGATAGAGAAGCAGTTTGTTTGATAAGATGGTGAAATAAACATGTGTGACATATCTGGCTAGCTTCTTCAAGGAAACAATATCTCATGATGATGTCAGATGACCATCCTCCTCACCATTCCATTATGATAAACCCTCGACGCGTCTGTCACCCTAGCTTCATTTGGATCTGGATTGGAATTATATGTTAAAAATAGGCACCCAATTAAATTAGTCATGAGCAAGAGAACTTTGTCTTGAGCTTGATTTAAATTATACATTAAGAATAGCTGCCCAATCAGCTAGTGAAAACTAACATATATTTTTTTCCTTATAATGATAACATATAACTAAACCTTAAAAATGGTAAATTTCTATCAGTCTTTATGATACCTTCACTATTGGGCATTTTGACAAGGACTACAGGACCAGTGCCAATTTCTGAAGCTGCCAATTATATTAGTTATGAGCAAGATAAACCCTGGGTTAAGTTAGTGATGAGATAGATGGAGGATGTCACATCATTCTTTTATCTGTGATCTAGTGGATAGAGCTTCTGCCCTGAGAGTAGAAGGTCAGTGGTTCAAATCTCTTGCTGTTAAACCAAAAATAGCTGAAAGATGGTACTTGTTGTTACCCTGCCTGGCTCTCAGCATTAAGGGGGTGAAACAAGGACTGGTCACCTCGAAGTCGACGTCAGTTAACTGTGTCTGAGTATGGTGTCTCAGTGGGCTAGAACTATAAAACCTGCATTGGTCCGGACAAGTACAAGCAGCCACACACACACATGCACATCTGCATACACATCGCTATATCAGCTATATAAGTGTAATAATTCTTACTGCAATGTTAAACTTAATTTCACCTCACCTCACAAAGCTTTGGTGGTGGGTAGGTCCAGGGTATTTATCCTAATTGAATGGAGATATTATGCATTGGATAATTGAAGACGGATGACCATGAACATATCGCCTTTGTCCGATGATGAGGCTAACAAGTTAACTTGTGCAGCTTTCTAAGGCTTGCAGGCCACAGGTTTTTGTTGAAATAGAACAAAAAAGAAATAGCTCCATATTTTTGTGTTTAATTTGTAAAAGTAAATGATAAAAAATCTCTTTAAAGTGCAGGATGTCTTATGTAACACATACATTGATTAAATCTGTTAATGAAGGCTTGTTCTCATGACATTTACTAGTGGCCACGGAATATGTGCAATGCATTTGATCAAATACTACTTAGAAGCTAACTGTTACCTACTTGTTTGATTTTTGTAGAACTATCTTTTTAATTCATCAAAGATAGAGTGATCAGACAAATTAGGAAAAAAAGAATATTTTTCTGGTTTTAGCTTTTGGATGCAAATTGTTGTATTGTCAGTTTGAGTTTAGTTTTCGAAAATAAATCTTCAAATAAACATTTTAATGAAAATACGATAAAACACAGCATTTGTTTTTGCAAAATGTGAGTTAGGCTTGTGTTTAAAACAATAAGATAAGTTGAGCTGTCATATGTACCATTTTGCATATTATTTAGGATTTCTAGAAGCTGATAAAAGAGCCCAAACTGTTACTCTCTTATTTTTGCAGATATTTTGTACTGACGACGATGGTAATTTCATACATTTAAGAAGGATGAATGTGTACAATACTGCTCAAGTGGTTCTAAGTTTTCTCCCTTTGTTAGCCAGGACACTTGAACCATAAGAAAATGTTGAAACTTTCATATGATGTTGTTTCCTGCTAGATAAGAAAATCGCATCAGTTTGACAGATCATCACATTTGTTGCTTGCACGAGTGGATTTCGTATTTGATTGAAGTCACTATTAATAATCTCACTGACCTAAAGGGCCTTCGTGGGCTTCAGCTATGGTGCATTGTCCGTTGATCATCAGTTTTACCGCTCCAACATATTTGAGGTGATTAGTTCAATCTGTGATTAATGCATTTGCAAAAGACCCTGTTTTGATTTCTCCACATACTGGTAAGCCAGGATAGGTTGAGTTATGACCTGACAATTCACCCCATATGACTATGTATGAGGTCTGCCCACTGGCATGTTCCATTGTGAAGAAAGGGGGTAGCAGGTGGTCCACGACATGTAGTACGATAGATATGTCACTTGTCACGACGACCTCTAAAGAGCCTTATGGGCAACTTATGGGTCCATGGGGGTGAAGTCAGTTTCATCGTCATGACCTGCTTGTGCACAACATGCGTACACCCTCTCTACCTGTTTCAAACCAAAAATGTTTTCCTAAAATCTATGCACTGCCTACTTGTCTCAAATGCATTTTGTGAGTTGGTACAACTTATGCCATGTATGCCGGGTTACCAGTATGTACTTAATGTAAATATTTTGGATACCTTTGGATCTGATACTGCTGAAGTAACTGCTTAAATCTGTATCAAATCTTTCTCATTCTGGGGGAACGGGTGGCCCAGTTTTTTAGGTGCCGCAAGTCCCTGTTCAGAGTTGCGTCTCTTGGCCACGCCGGAAAGCTGTGATTGTGGGTTCAAATCCTGGTTCGCCCTGATTATGTTTCTAGGTTTGTCAGCACCATGCCTTGCTAATGGGTTTCACCAAAGTGATTAACGTTTAAGACCTGTATCACTTCCGGCTTTCCTCCCACAATAAGCTGACACGCCGTGATAAACTGGAATATTGTTAAAAACAGCGCTTAAACAAAACTCACTCACTCTCTTTATTCTCTTGATAGATGTATTTGACTGTGATGATCAGATTTCCCCAAATGGTGGCAAGTGCCCTCCCTGTATGTAGAGTACATGTCACACAGCAGGTTGACTGACTCAATGTTGGCAGCGGAGAGGAAGTTGATGAGCATGATGAGTGACCACAACATGGCAGTCTGGCCTCTGAAGGGTTTCAAAGGATTCAGTCCCGGCCCACACTTTAACACAGGATATGTGTTGTGTGTTGTCAATGAAGAAGTGACTGTTTCCAATTTGCCTTATGCTCAGAGAATTGGTTCCTGATAGGATGAGATGGCAATATTATTGTAACAGTAAGACAGTTGAGCACCTGACATCAACATGGGTTATGAACTCCTCAGGGAGCTGAGAATGATTTGAAATTCAGATGCACACTGATTCATAAAACAGAGTAAAAATATGCTATTGTTTGTTTTTTATTGCCGCACTCAGCAATATTCCAGCTGTTTGACGACTGTCTGTAAATAATCACATTTGGCCCGACAGTTAAAAATTGAAATCATGAGCATCCATCAACATGATCAACACAGTTTGGATGCGATGACATGTAACCAACCAAATCATAGATTGCTGAGGACCTATATTCCTACCCGGAATCCTCATGGATATAAACATCATGAAGTTTTTACCAATTGGTGAAAAAGCTCAATCTCACCAAGATTGAAACTGTTTGTTACACTGATGAATCTACTTTTGGCTGTTTTCGACATGTTTCATTGTGTTGCTGTGTTTAGCTGAAACATTGTTGATATTCCCCAGACTTATGAAACTGAGGGTGTACAAATCATAATTAATGCACATGAGGAAATTTTGAATTAAACTCTCTCCCTCCACAATTTAAGAATAGTAATTTACCTGGTGAGCTTCAGAACCAATGGCTGTATTTTGTGAAGAACCTACATGGTGCCAAATAATGTATTGAGTTCTAGGTTTTACAGTGAATTCTTATTCTCCTTCCTAACATTGAAGCATCTTATCAAACAAAAGCAGGGCATTTCTGTCATGCAGATTTTTATTGTAACATTGACATTATCAACAGAAAGGCCCTGGGCCCCATTCCACAAAGTGGCCGTAACATTGAGACGATCGTAACTCCCATACTTAAATATAGACTTACGACTGTCGTAGTGCTATGGTTGCTTTTGTGAAGGGGCTGATTCACAGAGAGATCTAAGCAGACAATGATTGTAACTACGATACTTTTTCGTAGTTTGCAGTCATTTCACTACAAGTACAGCTTTAGGAAATAGTGACCTATAGACCAGGGCCCCCTTCCACAAAGGGGATGTCAAGTGGTTTCAGTGCTATAAATAGAGGAGGAGTTTGTATGGAAGGTAGTCATGTTTGAGATATTTTGTAATTCATCAACAGGCATACTTAATGTCATACTTAAGAAGCAGTCTTTGAATGTGTACCACTAGGTATATTATAGCTATCAGTAAACTTTGTCTGTGATAAGCAGATGAGGAAGGTTGAAACAATATGCTTGGCTGTGATATGATACGTAACAACACGTTTGGAACTTAAAGTGTCTTTCATAACATTTCACTAATTATCTATTAATTCCATATCAGTGCCATGCTTAAGACATGGAATTTCTTAATCTTTGGTGGATGAAATGTGTATTTTGTGTCACAGCTCATTAAGGTTGTGATGACCATTTCTTTCCGTTGCGTATGTATTGCGTATCATATCACAGGCTGAGTTGTCTCATTGCATTGTTGCATTGATGAATCATTACATACGTAGTAACAATGTTTGACATTTTTAAGTCGTATGTATAAGGACTTCTAATCCATTTGACCTTTTTATGTCAATAAAATATGTTTTAAACAAGGATTCGAGATATTTTGTCACGAACTAGGGCTATATTGTTTCAGTTCAATGACATTAAAACAGGATGTGCAATCAAAACCGATTTGAGACCTGATTAAAGTCTTTAATCATGTTAATGATGATGTATATTTGTTAATTTTGACTAATTCTCCATGCAAATGATGATGTGATTGTAGTTACCATGGGTACTTATGTATAATTTCTTTGGAAGAACAGACCGCTGGTTTCTTTAGGGCATACATACAACTGATTTCTACCAAGGATACTAACATTTTGCAGAGGATTTGAAGTATAATTTCGTATATATTTATTGCCGTTTTGTGAATTTGTACATTGGGTCAAAATTGCAATCTTGGTGTTTTTTGACAGCATGAAAACCTCTAAAACTATTCAGTGTTAAGAATGAAACTCGAGAATTAGAAGGATTGAAATTAACAAATGTACCTCTCCTTTGTATAAGAGAAATTTCCTCTTTGAACAAAATGTTAAGTAATTACACAGATCATGACATGAAATGTAGTTAGTTTGATTTATCCATCCGGGCTGTGATATGACTGAAATAGTGTTCAATTTCAGCTCTGAACCCAAATAATTTACACTTCCCTATTGTCCAAGAAATTTGAGAAGGGCGTCATGAACATCGTTGTTTGTAGTGTGTGTTATTTATCCATTCTATTGTGAATTATGCCCTGGACCTGTATATACCTTGCCACCATAGCTTTGTTTGAAATGTAATTTTGTCAAATTACATTGCTCTTTTATGATTTAAAAAAGAAGGAATGTCACCAGTACATGTCTCACAAACTGAAATGTCTTGTAGCAGAAGGGCTTCTCTCATGTCTTTGTACTAAGCAAAACATTCTTTTCTAGCCCAAAAGATTTTTGAAGTCTTGTGATTCCTTTAAATAAATCATGGCCTTGCTCGTATGAGACAACGGTTTTGAATGTAGATCAATGCTCAAAAGAGGAATTTTGATTGGTTGTTGATTTCAAGCTCATGAGCTGGTGACATCACTTCCGAAACGAAACTGAAGTGGGGAATGGGTCCAGGGTCTTATTTGTAATAGAATGGAGATGTGATACCCTGGATAACAGAGGATGTTCTATGCAGTGAAGTAATGTGATATGGACGAGTTAGATAATTTAACATAGGTGTCCTTTTAGCATCAGGATGTAATGTTTACCTGGCTCTATTGCTCTGTATAGTTTTGGAGGATTTCATGAAGTCTGGTTTCTGTGTAGAACGCAGAGTAAACACAGATTATACAGATTTCAATACCGCCCTGTTTGTTCTGCAGGAATAGGTTCTGTAAATACTTCTATTGTATATGCTGTATTTTTTACATTGTTTCAACAAATCCATTTTGAATATTTACAGATGATTGTAACTGACAAATTGTTAATATGTACAAGGATTTGCTATGGATTGACTAAAATTTGGTTTTAAAGTTTTCAATAAAACCTTTAAAGTGACTGAAGTTGCCTTATTTTTGTAAACAGATGTCCATCAGAGTGACGGTTTGTGTTTTTGTGCCGCACATTTTTTCTTTCTAGTTTTAAGTTAATGATGGCAGACAAAAGCCGCTGTTACATTAGACAAAAGTCACATAATTTTGAGGTGACTTACATAGCAATGGCAGGATTGGCTGATCATGGGTTTGCATCTCAGATTATACCCCATGTTGACAATCCTTGATTTGTCCGCACCTTACCTTATAATTGTGGCTCGCACCATGGTGGTAAACGTCACGACCTGCATCACTTTGGGCTTTCCTCCAACATTTCCTTGATACTCATCACAGCAGAGTCCAACCTGGCTCACTTACAGACGTTTGTTTTGTTTGTTGTTACATTGCATGGTCTTTGTGTTGCTTGATTTAAGAGTGCACAGAACAAAGCTTTCAGTATTGAAATTGTTGGGACTGAGAAACTGAAAAATCTCCCAGAACAACATGTCAGAAGCTTATGATCAAATGTATTCATGTCTTTATTGTATCATCAATCGTGAATCACAAATCAATTCATAATGTAATCCTCAGCACCTAGTTGAGTTTATTAAAAATTACGTTAAAAGCTCAGCTTATAAATAACTAAGACATCAAAACACAAATCTACTGAAACTGATGCGTAAAACACATTCTACTCTGTATATTCAAACTGTTTGGCACAGACTGAGACAAGGATATGAATAAAAAAACCAAAAAGACTATTTCTAAAAAAAAAACAATGCATGTCCTGACAATTTTTGTTCTGTGCATACTTGCTCTTTAATGTTTTTGCTTTGGTTGCCCTATTATTTTCTTGTTTTCTTTATTGCCTAGGATCATGATGTGGAATGTTATTTGCCTGTGGCCTGTCTCCCTCTGCCTGTGTCTGCTGTAGAGAGAGGACTTCTGCCTACCCGTCTGCTGCCCCGTAGATTCTGCCCGTCTGCTCGCTGTCTTTCCCATCATACAGTGTACTTCCTGGTTACGGCCCTTGTCTGCATGGAATCACCTGCTCAACTACAGTTTCCTCTCAGCACAGGGTTACTTTATGCCATTATTCTGCTCACATTACAAACCACTGCTTAACATCATCATTTTGGTGGCTGGAGCGTAGCAGGTCATTGACATTGGAAGCTCAAGGGCAAATCTTTGTAAACTTGGTCAAACATAATTTTTTTGTCATCTAGCACTTGCAAAACCAATACATTGATTTGCAGTAGGGGATTTAATCTGTTGCATGGTTATGTGGTTTGCTTTGAGCTGACATGGAGTTGAGAAAGCTTATTTGGCTTATTTGAACTTTTCAATTTGATTGGGCTTGTGAACAGATATGTCTCCTACATTGCTTGCGACCACATTAAGATAAGACCTGTGAAGGTCTAGGTATAGACAATAGGTCTTCAGCAGCCATGCTTGCGGTAAGAGGCAACTATGCTTGTCGTAAGAGGCGACTAAAGGGATTGGGTGGTCAGGCTCACTGACTTGGTTGATGCAGGTCATCATATCCAAATTACGTATATCGATGCTCATGCAGTCAATCACTGGATTGTCTGGTCCAGACTGTTATTTACAGATCGCTGTGATATAGCTTGAATATTGCAGAGTGCAGCGTTAAAGAACAAACAAAATATTAAAATATGGTTACTCTGATTTGATACCTCTGTCATAATCCTCAATAGGAGGCCGAGTCAGGTGAACTTAGTTACCTGCCAAATCTTACCAGCCAATCAGTGTGAGGGCTTCTAAATACTCAGCAGCATTCAGAGCAGCACATCTGACCTTGATCTCTAACTCACAAACGGATAAAAATGATCAGTTCCAAATGAAGAACAATAAAAGCTGTGTTTTGTTGTGGATATTATTACATAAATAACAATGCAACAGAGAAAGGCAAAGTGGTTTGTGGGTAGCATAATAGCATGTCACTTTGAACTTGTCACCTGTTAATCTTCTGTTGCTGATGCAGAAAGTGTGCACAAAAAATGTTGAGTGTTGGCAGAAAATTGTATTGTGCATTGCCATAATCTTTGTCGATATTACTTTGTTAAATGTCCAAATGTTGTTGCCTGTCCTTGACACTATCCACCCTTGTTTTCACTTTAACAAAGTTTAATATTGTTTTAATATTGTATTCTGTTACCATGGTTACTAAAGCTTATTTTTTATTCTTATTTGCCAAATAAGTTATTCACCACATACTAGAATAGCTTTTATCTGTGCTAAGGATCTCAATCTCCATGATCCAACATCACCAGTTTCTCCTTACTTTACACAGTGCATAAATCAGGAAGTAGTCACAGGATGGAGGAGCTCCTAATAGTTGTTACACTTCACCAATTACTGGTACACAGTACTGAACACTGATACCGATTACTGGTACTCATTACTGATGGCCTGTACCCATTGTTATTACATTTACACATTATTGATTAGGGTTACACATTACTGTTTAGGGTTACACATTATTGATTAGGGTTACACATTATTGATTAGGGTTACACATTACTGTTTAGGGTTACACATTACTGATTAGGGTTACAAATTACTGATAAGGGTTACACATTATTGATTAGGGTTACACATTACTGATAAGGGTTACACATTACTGATTAGGGTTACACATTACTGATTAGGGTTACACATTACTGATAACCGATTTACCAAATACCAACACTCATTACCTTTACAAATTACTGACTAAAGTTAACATTGATGATAAATGGTACCCATTACTGATTACCAGTACACATTACTGATCGCCATTACTCATTACTGATAAGCTTTACACATTTCCGATTACTGGTATGCTTTACCATATACCTGTACACATTACTGATATATACTCGCTGTAAAATGTGACTATGCTTGTCGTAAAAGGCGACTAACAGGATCGGGTGGTCAGGCTCGTTGACTTGATTGATACATGTCATCGATCCCAATTGCTTGGATCGATGCTCATGATGTCAATCACTGGATTGTCTGGTCACTGGATTGTTACAGACCGCTGCATATAGCTGGAATATTGCTGAGTGCGGCGTTAAACAACAAACAAAAACATTACTGATATGCTTTACTGATTACTGGTACACATTAGTGATAACCATTACATATTACTTATTAGAATTGCCAATGACCTGTAGACATAACCAACCACAAAATTATATCGTATTTTCTTGAGGATAGTGCACACTTTATTTTTTCAGAAGATGAAGCAGCGCAGAGGGGGTGTGCATTTTACAAGCCACCATACGATTTCAGGTATTTTGTCCCCCATGGGTAAACAATACATCCAGTATGTATACGGGAAATCGAGTGTCAACAAACGGAATACAATACCGATGCATTCATCTGTCCTAATTTTAGTGTTCAGATATAATAGATAAAATATTTGACTGCGCATAATACTCGAAAATACTTTTTTCCAAAATTCTTTTGCATCCCTTAGAGGGGTGCGTGCATTATGCTCGGGTGTGCACTATACTCCCTAAAATACGGTAAATGAGATGATTAAGATTGCTTGAGGCAGCAATGCCACACAAAGACATTTTCCAGCAACGTAAAATGCACAATCACCTTATGAAGTTTATTTTGACAGAACGTGTGTAATACGTTTTAGAAATATAATGATGAGAAACTTGTATTTCTCTTGCCACAATATTTAAAAATGTTATATCTATACTATAATGTCTTGAGGTTAAAGAAAGCATTGGCTTATTAAACTGGAACAGAGTGATTGTTTTCATGAAGAAGTCCCATGTGTCTGGCTGTCATACTGTGTGTATGGTCACTGCTATCGAGATGATCTCCCTTTGCTGTAGCTGGATCTCATTGGTGAAGCTGATCATATAGAATAGCCCTAGAAATTCACAGTATACATGTTTGCCCCGACAATCAAGGTACTCAAATGGTGGGTTCTCGTTAAAAAGAATAAGATATCATTGGAACACTGAAGTCTCGAAGGATTTTTGGTCCATTGTTATGAAATGGACCCTCCATTTAATATTTGTGTGATGGGGCTGGGAGTTTAGTTGAAGATGAACACCTTTTTCAGCCACTGTTTCAAAACACATAATTTCTATCTATGAGAAGCGTGTCCAGCAAACAAACTACTTTGGGGGTAAAATATGGGGACAAATTATTTTTTTATTGTTTGTCCTGGAAGAAATAAATTCTGTTAATAATAATCCCAGCCATTATCTTCCCGGTTGTCACCAAATTATGATCATGATCTGCAATAAGTTTGGAAAAATAGGAATATCCTGATCAAGATATGGAATAGTATATCTATATACACGTTCATTCTGATTTTTATGTGATAGGTTCTCATATTTGGGGTATTGTATTTGTGGCTCCTAACATGCTGTTTGATGTAATGGGTTGAAGTATTCACCAGGTGTATGTACTGTGTAACCAGTCCTTTCTGTCCATCATACAAAATAATTCCATGGATTTGCAGTTACCTCACCAAGTGACTGAAGTGATCAAAATCGTTCTATACAATCAACAGGATCAAACCTCATTATAATGCCATGCTCATTTCCTCAATACTGAGTGAAGCAAATTTCTAACAATTGTGTCATGCTATTCCTCTATTACGCCAGTCTGGCTTTACTTCAATATGGAGGGCCTGGCATTATAGTGAGGTTCATGGCAGCCATAATGTCTTGCACAATGTTGTGAATATTGTATTCTGGAATTTTGAGGACTACATATTTTTAGTCCTCAGTGTTGCCATTGAGCCTGTACAGACATTTATACCGCAATCGATGTAATACCAAAGGGGCATTTATAGGGATAGATTACCCTTAGGGGTATGGATAGGGGAAATTATTTTCAGTAATTCTCACTGAGAAGTATAATGTTTGCTTGATGCTGATTGGCTCACATCAATTGTGCCATTATTTTCATTGTCTCCAAAACAACGTTAAATCAACATGTTTCCGTAAATACTGGACATGACATCACCCATTGTTAATGACATCATTGACCACGTTATGTTGATATAGAGAGGAACCTTTTTGCATCTCAGATTGTCTGATTCTCCAAATTGTCTACAATGGTTTTATCCTGACTATGAACAGAAAGTTCATAGACTAGCAAATTTCTTCACTGCAAGGTTTACTTAACTGTTGAAACTATTATTAACCTGAAGAATCTGATGCTACCGACTGAGACATTGCTGGAGACTGATATTAAGCTGGCACAAGTCCAGGGTGATCTTCACTCATAAAGCTGTGATATTCTGATAAATGTACTGGCAACGTTAGATGCTGAGGGATGCATTCATGTGGTAATTATCGTGATGGGATAGTTTTGGCGAGGGGCACTCATCATGATGATTATGGTATAATTTCAAGGATAGGACTACGGTATCATTGTTTGCTTTTAACCTTTATCAACAGTATCAGGAAGTATGTTCATAATAAATCTTTTTAGTTCTATGAGGACATGTTCATTCTTATGCTTAGTTAGGTCTCATCACACAGGGGCATTGGCTTACCATCATACAGTGTTCGAAATTAAACACAAAAGTGATCCTGGTTATAACCCTCGTGTTGAATGATAAGACATTGAGGGGTCCCCAAATTTAAATACAGGAGCAGATGTGAAGGACCCCAGGGCCCCCCTTAATTTCGAACACTGTTCATATGTAGCATGTTCTAAAAAATATCGGTAGAAAGTGTTCACTACCAGATGTTTAGTTCAGCACTGATGCACCCTAGGAAGGATCCCATGATATAGGATGCTTGGTTTATGTGATAGGGAACTCTCCAGTAGTCTTGCCTGCTGTGGCTCAACCTGTACATTTCCTGTGTAACATATGTCTTCTTGGAGTGTCTTTGTTAACCTTTATATTACAGGCCGTCTTTGCAGAGCAAGGGTTGAAAACCAGCAGTTATGTTGAATTGGATTTTTTGGGTCCATGTCTTCAGTGCAAATCAAACATAGGAGCAGTGTCTCTGAAGTTTACTATATAGGATTATCTAGCTTTGAAAGGTTTTCAAGAGGTTTTTTTATATAAATGTGTGTCAAGTGACTCATTGCCAGTGAAGAGGGCCAGTCAGGTATCAGATAGGGCGGATCAGGTAGAAGGTATCAGATAGGGCGGGACGGCGGGTCAGGTATCAGATAGGGCGGGACGGCGGGTCAGGTATCAGATACGGCGGGACGGCGGGTCAGGTATCAGATACGGCCAGGGGGGCTATTTTTCACAGAAATAGAGGTCATCTGATTTCATCGATGACTTGCCCCCCTTGCAGTGAGAAGCACTGCCTATGTCCTGTAAAAAACCTCAAGGTCCATTCTGTCCTGGCAGAAAATGAATGTGAAAATTTTATCATAAATTACTTTGTCCTATTCCTCAACCCGGTGTTATTAACTCCTTTCTTTCACATGGATTGCTATTTAAGATGGTCATAGCTTGGTGGAAGGTCACAGGTCCCAGTTCCACAAAGCACAAAGTCTGTGTTGACATATGGGAGTTATGATCATCTTATCACTAAGATGGCTTTGTGGAACAGGGCCTAGGTCTTATTAATGAATTTATTTATGGTTCACTGCTGAAGTCTGAATTTGAAGCCCATTTGTAAATTATGCATCAAACAGAAATTCGTCCAAAGATTTGGACAACCTATGCTCTTCCAAGACGGTCATCACCCAGTTAAACCAGATTAAGTCCAACTTGGAGGTCAGTTGAGGTCACTTCACATATTGTGATAATTGTACAGTACATGGTGTATATTGTGTGTATGTGGCTTGTACAGAGAACGACAAATTGCTAGCTGTGAGATGATTTTCTGTGATTCCCTGTATATAACCACTAGCTATTTACTGACATGCCTTAGATCGACACCTTTGGTGCTCGAACCATTACCTGGAGATACCAGATTTTATTAGGTGATGAAAATCCCTTGAGCCAATTTTAATATGCCTTGTATGCAGGACGCTGTGTGTGGGTCACCATGTACAGTGCAGTAATAATAAAGAATAATTCTCTATGAACATATGCTTTTTGTTTGTCCTTATATGAATGAAATTGGTTGATCAGTGTTCAGCTTGATGGCTTGAAAGCCCAAAGTGATGTTTACCCCTTTGGTGAACCCCACGTACTTGTGTTGTCACGGTGAATCATCGGTTTCTGGTGCACCCAAGGGACACAACTCTGTGTACCGAATTGCAGCAACAGCCAGCTTTGCAGGGAAGAGAGAATCAGTTGTTTGTGGTACATTGAACTAACAAAGAAAGCTAAGGATCACAAATATTTTGGGAGATATTTTTAAGAAATTATGTGCTCAGGCTTCACTAGAAAAAATATATAAAAAATATTCATGATCCCTAGACTGATGACTGGAACCCCAAACCTTATGGTGGTGAATGGGTTCAAGGTATTTATTGCAAAACAATAGGGATATAATGCACAGGATAATTGAGAATGACCTCGTGCTTTCAACCATTGTTTAGTCTGGGCCAGACATGAGTACTGACAGGTGGTTGTGATTCAGCTGGACAACAGTCGCTCAACTACATGGAAGCAGGAAGTTGTTTGTTGTTTAACGCCACACTCAGCAATATTCCAGCTACATGATGGCGGTCTGGACCAGGCAATCCAGTGATTGACATAATGAGCATCTATCGAACCTGACCACTCAATCCCGTTAGTCGCCTTTTACGACAAGCATGGGTTGCTTAAGACCTATTCTTACCCGGATCTTAATGGGTCGGAGGCAGGAAGTTGCCTTCATCTCATGCTTGTTCGAACAGACTAAACTGAGGATCAGATTGTCAATGGCGTGGGCTGTGCATCATACTACCACTGGTTTACCTGGCACAACATATTCAGTTATTTTCATGAATGCCATGACATAGCTGGAATATAGCTGACAGTTCAGTTTTATCTTCATGTTCCTCGTCCAGTGTCCTCAGTGTAAGTTCATGTTGATGTGTAGAGAGAATCTGGACATTCCTCCAGTCCAGAGATTAAAATATATATAATCATAGACATCTTATCTATGGAAAGCTGAACCCCTACTCCTCCTACTGCTGGATATACCAGTGCTAGTCAGCAATAGCTGTCCAGTGGAAAAGGACTTGGTGAACAAATGTATGAGTGAGTTGGCTTCAACACCTCTTCAAACAATATTTCAGCATTTCAATTTAATGTTTTGGATGTTGTCTACTTTGGTTAAACCAAACATACAAGGGTAGGGTACTCTCAAACCAAATACCATAATATATTCTGTGATTTGAACCATGATTATAGGATTCTGGCATGAGTAAGAGAGGCAACTCTGTATGGTGAATTGCAGCACCTCAGATGACCACCCATGTCACTGAAGGAAACAACAGAGTCTGGCATTAAATGACCATATCACCTTTATTGTTGGCCTGTAGGCTGGATGCATTATGTTGACAGGGGCAATAATACTGAGGGAGGGGGAGGGGGGGTCAGGATGAGGGGGTGAGGGAATATGTACATGGTGGTGCTACGTCTAACATGGCAACACTATACTGTACAGTATATACACAGAGCTAGGTGTTAAGAATACAGTATTATACACTGACAGAAGCATCAACAAGGAGTTTATACAAATATTTATCCTCATTGACATATACACTGTGCAACATTTCCTTGTTTCCATGGTTACACACTGACATCAAGACATAAAAATAGTCTTATATACTATTAAAAAAGTTAAGGACCACCTGATTCTTTCATATTACTATACTAAATCTGTCATCCTTAACTTTTTTAGTACTATATTTAGCATCCATTTAGCAAGTGAATAACTATCGGAAAGGAAGTATTATGGATTTAATCTGACTGTAGGACAAAATGGAGTGTATATGATTCATAATATTAAATATCTCTTTTTCAGACATATTTTCATAAAATTTTAAAATTTAAATTATGAACTTAATAAATACTAGCTAAAATAGCCTCCATTTCAACAGACTGACCATGACATATAGATCCAAAACTTGATGAATGAGCAGTCATTATGAATTATAGATGGCAATAATAATTGATATTATTATTCATAGATGTTTTAAAATTAAGGGGAATAATGACTATCATTTTGTTCATGGACAATCGAATAGCTGAAAAAAACATTGGACTCCCGGTACATACAGCTGTAGGATTCCAGGTACAAAACAGCTGTAGGACTCCAGATACAGCTGTAGGACTCCAGATACAGCTGTAGGACTCAAGACACAACTGTAGGACTCCAGGTATGTAACAGCTGTAGGACTCCGTATACATACAGCTGTAGGACTCCAGATACATAACAGCTGTAGGACTCCAGGTACATAACAGCTGTAGGACTCCAGGTACATACAGCTGTAGGACTCCAGGTACATAACAGCTGTAGGACTCCAGGTACATACAGCTGTAGGACTCCAGGTACAGCTATGGGACTCACGGTACATAACAGCTGTAGGACTCCAGATACAGTTGTAGGACTCCAGGTATGTAACAGCTGTAGGACTCCGTATACATACAGCTGTAGGACTCCAGGTACATAACAGCTGTAGGACTCCAGATACAGCTGTAGGACTCGCGGTACATTCAGCTGTACGACGCCAGGTATATAACAGCTGTAGGACTCCAGGTACATACAGCTGTAGGACTCCAGGTACATACAGCTGTAGGACTCCAGATACATACAGCTGTAGGACTCCAGGTACATACAGCTGTAGGACTCCAGGTACAAACAGCTGTTGGACTCCAGTTACATACAGCTGTAGGACTCCAGGTACATACAGCTGTAGGACTCCAGGTACAAACAGCTGTAGGACTCCAGATACATACAGCTGTAGGACTCCAGATATGTTCAGCGTCAAGCCGCATAAGTTTTCTCGGCCATGTTAGTAACCTTTCATGCAATCTCCCAACTTTCATAACACCAACACAAGCATTTATCAGACACACAACTGATATCCATTCCCAGTTATCATCAAAGCCAACTGTATTTAACAGAAGCTTGGCTCCTATACAGTTGAGCCCCTGTATGTATCTCCACACGACTAGGGAGCATTGCACTGGCACTGGGACATAGACACTGATTGCACAGATGGTGAAATGCCCAGATTAATGACTAAATGAAGGGTACACAATTTGTCCCAAGTATAACCTTTAACAGTATGCTATTCCACACCTTTACAGAACTCCCAAACACTAATGAAGTACGCTGATGGCCAAAATTGATTTTGTTTCAATAAACTAAACTAAAGTAAATGCCGTATTTCTAAAAATATGCTAGTTCATATTTCATTCATCAAAGACATTTCTTAAGAAAGTACCCTCAAATCAATCCTTACATAATTCTATATTTTTTCCAATTTCCTTTCTATCTTTACATAGTGATAAAAAAGATCTTAAAACAGAACAAATTGGTCAGCAGCAACTAACATAAATATCTCTTAGAAAACAGTTCAGAAGTTTACTGTAGGTTAAAAAAAACCTAATTCCCTAAGCTCTTACTTTTTATCTTATCTTATTATCCACAGAGCTTGTGATTTGGCAGAGATTTCAAGAATGTCAGGTAAACTGATTTCTCTTAAAATATGACGATCAGAGGTGTTACTGATTGACTTGGAACAAGAACTCTCTGAAAAGTTGATTTGTTGAATTGAGCACTTGACCCATTAACCTCCCAAACCCAAACTCAAGAATAAAGATCATACATCAAACTTTTGAATGCTTCCTTAATAGCAAGTATTTTGTCAGTAAGTCAATTCAACAGAGGAAGTCCTCGCAGCCTATGGGTACGAGGCTATCCTACAGGTATTCTCAACCCTGAATAACTCGCCATACAGGATGCTTCAGAATACCATTCAACCCATCTCGACACAATGAGAACTAAAAAAATAGAAATAAAAACTAAGGTAGAACCTTAATTAGGAAAATAAAGATTTGGGGAATAAAATCACAGACAAACAACTGGACTAAAAGTTTCCCACTGACAAATAAAACACAGTGCACATGCAAACATGCCTCCGCTCAGCCTTAGCTTGATAGACCACAGAATGAAAGTAGCTTTTTAAATAACATTTCCTCATCTCAACAAAAATTATTCCAATATGGCAGAATGTGGCAAAAATGGAAAACTGATTTGGAATACAGCAAAAACAGAATGTCCAAAGTTTGTGCTACACAAGAGATAACCTAATCTTAACACAGAAACATAGAGTATGATTTCATACAGCTCTAAGGTAGAAAATACAGAAACAATCGTCCACCACATATAACACTAAAAACACATTTACCCTGATGAAATGTTGAGATTTAATAATGAGAGTGTTTTTTTATGCTATTAGCACAGTCCTAGCTCGGTCAGGCCAGCTGTGTACGTTAATGGAAGATGTAGAGACGTTGTCTGATTAACCAAGACATGTACAGGACAACAACTACAACTTAGGGACAAAACAGTACACCTAGCAATAAGCCCAGAATGAAATTGGTCGACTCAAATGACAAACAAAATGTGGAAAACATAGAAGTCTATAAAACATAGTAAGACAAAGTGAGTATTGTTTTCATAAAGGTGGAATGGCAAGGAAAATATTTCATTGATTCAGATTAAAAATACTTAGTAAATAGGGCAGGAATTAATGGCTAGTGTGAACTGAAAGTATAGAAAATATGAGAAAGAAAAATGTCATGCTGAACAGAACGAAAATAAGCACTCTAACATAAGGAAGCTATTTCAGTATTTATGTGTACAGCTCCACATACTATTAGCTTGAAAACTAGTTTTAGTGAGTGATGAACATTAGGCAAATTGTTTTTGGTAGAGTTGTCATTAATGTTATTGGTGCCTTTATTGATGGAATTAATGACTCTATTTTACCAGTAAGTGATAGGGGATAATGGTTTCTGTTTCCTGAAACTAAACACATGGTTGCACTAAAGCCCAGGACAATATCTTGTCAGGTTGCTAGCAGCAGCAATGGAAACTCATCAACTTTCACTAATTAAAGGGGGACTGGTGACATGTAAAGGGCTGCCCTGCCTTATTATCAGTGGAGTAGGTGACAGTAGAAGTAACTACCACTAAAATAAGTCACAAGATTTTCATCATGATCTGATGCAGGATGCTGTTAATGTCCTGATTTTATCGAAATTAGAGTTGTCTTTTTCGAAATTATCTTGCATGTTACAGTGAATTAAAAGGATGCATGCTACTTTTAGCAATATCCCAGAAATGTCACCACACTGACCCAAGTTGGGAAATGGAACCTGGGCCAGAGGCGTGATAAGCAAAAGCTTTAACCACTGGGCTACCCCACGACCTTGCCTGCTACAGAAACAGATGAGTGTTGGTTTGTGGCTTATAACCTGAGCATTCAGTCCCAGAAATAAAGTTCTCAAATTAAAAAATATATATCTACAAAAGAAACAGTATAAAATCCAAATTGAGCCCAGAACAATACTTAATTTCAGGGAATAACCAAATCTACAAAGCTCTAAATATCTGCAGATTTGGACAGACCCAAGAGCTGAGGCAATCTAGACTTTCCAAATCATAAATGGTTTCAAACCAGAAGTGCTGTGGAAAATAATGTACTGTTGCCTTTGTGATTATTAATTTTCCATTAAATATTTCACAGAAACGTTCCTTGCAGTATGCACAAGTTTTGAACTAGCAAACAACATAAGCTTGTATTTTATTCATCTTATTCTGAAGCCCACAAAACCAAAACACTGTGACCTGACAATTACATGCTTGAAAACATGCACAGGGTAATACAATGAGTCCCATCTCTGACCCCTTCCATAACAACTTGTCTCCCTTTAGTCTTTCGCTAACGTGTACGATATCTGTAGGAAAACGTGAGAAGGTTGACAACTGATTCTTCTCAGATGGTTTTGGCAAATGCTGACATTAACTGCTACCTAGTTATTCCCAGACAGTTGATACATGGTCACAATAGTCACACACCAACAAAACTATGTAACCAAGGCAACCAGTCTCTAGTCAGTCTCATACTACACTGGTGAACCAAGATGTACAAAGACAAGCTCAGAATAAGGCTCCACACAAGAGGAAGCCTTGCGGAGCGGTGTACATGGCACAAGAAAAGCACTGAAAGAATGGAGTTCGTTACCATGCACTGGACAGGATCGATGTTGGGTGTGGGTGCTGTGGCCCGCCCATGCCCCGCCCATGCCTCTCCCTGGCCCCACCCTACTTCCATTCAGCAGTAATAGCACTATGTCTCCACACTGACTGGACCATCTGACTGTCACAGCACTAAGCTCCTACATGCAGGTAACAGATAGTATCCTCACTGTGATATGGCAGTCCACTCTCTAAGCTGGTGGGGAACAGTCCCCATCAATATTCACCATAAGTTAAAATGACCAACGCTTTCAATAGTATTTTATCCCAAACATGACTTCCACATAATGTCACACATTGTAGATGTTTACGCAGTTGGTGAAATCCTCTAGCACTGCTATGGTGCTTACAAACCAAGAAACACAATGAGGGGTATCTTCGATTCAAGCACATGACCAGCAGATCCTGGCTTATGCTAAGGGACACAACTGTTTACTCAGATTTGCACCATCAGTGTCCTCAAGGGTTTAAGATAGAAAGAAAGTTGTACTACCTCTGTTAACAGTTCTTGTGGAAGATAGATAGTGGAGGAGTAATGGCTACCTAGGGAGTATACTCACATACTAAATATCAAGATGAAGGTTTAGTCAGCAAGAGATGAGAACCAGAACTAGAATTCATGTAAAATAAATTCAAACATAAAAATAATTTTAAACAGAAATAGCTCTTTTCAGTAAATCAGAGAGAGACAAGAAAGTTCAAGATTTGATATCGGTTCATCTTTTAGAATAATTCTTAACACAATTAAAAACAAACATTACAAGTACTTTTGAAAAACAGTGTTTTAACCTAAAAACAGCAATCTTGTTGCTGAGAAAGAGTTCATCAAGTCATAATGTGACCTTTATGACTGGAGCAGGTAGACTACAGATTGCTACAGCAAGGCTACACAAACTTTGGAGATGAGCCATCATTGGAAAAACGACCACCATTGAGCGACAGACCTCTACAGTTATGAGCTTATGATAATCAGGGAATGACCTTCACACAGTAAAAGATGTTCATTAAAACTCCAGATCGGTTCTCACTGGGCTAAAAACCAGGCCTCTATTTACATGCATGCACTATTTTATCATTGTACACCACCTCAAGAACCAGCCATCATTCACAAGTACACGGAGAAGCGTCCATCGACCACACAGCTCTCAGCAGCAACAGCAATGGCACTTTCTTCAACACTTGGACACAGAGGCTAAAAGCTGCTAATCCCACATCCTTGTCCTTCCTGCTGCATCTCAGATCACTACATTGTTCTAGCATCTTCAGGATTCAAACACTTCCATATCCAAACTGAATTGCATTTTGGTCAGCCGTTAGTTGTATGAGTTATCTCCCTTCATTTACACAGGCTCTTACAAGACAGATAATGGTGATACATGTTCCACATACATATCCACATCCAGTAGTGAAATAATCATTTCAAAATACGATTCTAATTACAATCAGTCCACCTACGGCTAAATGACTGACAGAGTTCTCACAGCATATAGGTAATATCATTACTTAGAGCCACAAGACAGCGTTGTTGTTAATAATATATACATCTAGAAAGAGGACAATACAGGGGAGATAACTCATATTTCTGGGATCCCGGCACACAGATTGTCTCCCCTAGCTGGGACTAACTGGAGAAGGGTCGCAAATGCTCCAGCTGAATCTCCAGAGCTATTCTCTGCTCCATCACTTCTTGTAACTCCTGGTTAAGTTCACAGTTCAATCGGGTGAGCATTGCATTCCGCTCAGTGTGGGTACGCACTGCCATGTGAAGTTCACGCTTGTCTCGACTTGCTTGCCTGGAACACACACAAATGGGCAATATTTCAAGAGAATGAATCAATTTGGTTATAGTCTCCGAAAATATACAATTTTGATAGTGAGTGAGTGAGTTTGATTTTCCAACAATATCATGGCAGGGGACACCAGAAATGGGCTTCACACATTGTACGCATGTTGGGAATCAAACCTGGGTCTTCTGCTTGACGAGTGAACGCTTTAACCACTAGGCTACCTGACTACCCCAAATTTTGATAGAAACAAGCAACTACATATAAAGGATTGAAAAGGATCTCCATTGAGATGGGAGATTCAGAACCTGAGCCTGTGGAAAACCTCGACTTGTTTCATTTAGGGCTATCTATAGCATTACAGTAAGGGCTGTGCGGAAGGCTACTGCTAAACAAAGATTGGAGGACATCCCATTACGGGTCACATCAGGCTGACCTTTCACGAACTTTGACCGACTAATATAATGGAATGACTGACAAGAAGTATATATTAGCCAGAAGGCAGCTTTCTTGTGCTTCACGGCACTAGGTTCAAACTGGCAACCACTTTACAAAACATATTTTGACTAATTCTCCATCAAAAATTTGAAAACTGAAGAAAAGAACATTCAGGATTAGCTAATAGATGGCCTAGATTGAATGGATTCAGTCTTGAAGCTTGTAAATATCGTTCAGAATACCCTGCGTTAAATAGTTCAACTATGCATGATTAGAAAACACATTCCGTCTGTCACTTTCCTGATCTGGTAAACAACAATCTAATTGGTCTGATGAAAGGTAATTCTCTAATGGAATGTCCTCAGATCTTTGTTTAGCGGTAGTGAGAACTGATTTTAATGAGATTGGGCAGAAGGGAAAATAATATGGATCAGGGAGTTTGAGACAGACTAGAGTTTGGTTGACATCTGAAGTTCACTATAAGTAGAAGTTCATAGCAACAGACTGAGGACTTTGAGACAGACTAGAGTTTGGTTGACATCTGAAGTTCACTATAAGTAGAAGTTCATAGCAACAGATTGAGGAAACAATTAACTCGCTGGCATCATTATGATAATCACCTTGATTTAATATTTTACAAGTCAAATGACACAACAAAAATTGCTGTAAAAAATGCAGTGATATAACCATTAAAAAAGCTAACAGCTGAACATGTTTTATTTGAAAAACAAATATTGGAGACGTGCTCGTACAAGGATGACAAAAAGGATTTCTACTTCTGAACCAACTAGGGTGGTGAAAGACTTCCGGGTATTTATTATATTAAAATGGAGATATAATACACTGGATAATCGATGCTGGTTATGTTCATATGCTCCACATAAATATCCCAGGATAAAGGAGGATGGAGAGGAAGGGATTTACCAATACACTTGCCTTTTTACTTGCCTTGTTCAATGTTATCAAGTTTTACATTCTTATGTTCTTATTGACAGCAGACAGCACAAAATAAGTCCCTGCCATCTACGTTCATCTCTGCCCATCCACACTCGCTCAACCATGCATCTGTTCCATTTCATTTTTTTAACAGTCATACTGTTTTAGGAGAAATTTTCTTTTTTTCAGCCTGTTTGTTAAATTAATCCATTTTTTTTGTCGTTAACCCACCATCCCCGATCTAAAACTTCTGTATGTCAGCAATGTCCCTCGCAAAATAAATCATCAAGTGTTTACTATCGCTTTGACGTTTGAGCGTCAGTGATGAGTGGCTTACAACAAAAATAAAATGTTTTAATTATCTCCCTTTAGAACCTAGTTTCAATTCCTGCTGAACAAACGCACTTCCTGTTTATTTCTGTAAGAGACAGTTGCCAAGTATGTTATTTATTTATGATATGAGCGACGTGTATTTCGATGTTATTACATAGATCGTGCACGAGATGAAAACATATTGTAGGATTGAAATTATCTTGCATATTTCATTGAAAATGATTAGAGATGAATTGACATGATTGAAATATATGTACTCGCTGGGTAGGACAAGCGTTTCTTCAATTCTTTCTCACCCTTCACAAGCTGCCACTTTTCAACACAAGCGGACAAGTCGATTTTTTTTAGCCCCGTCAGTAACAGGATGTGGTCATGGTGGACGTAGTATTTACCGTAATGTTAAGACCGCATGCTGAGGCTTGCCTGGCTCCACCTCCTCCGCCACACTCTGCTGTTCCCGGGGCAACGGTGATACAACCTGGGAGTATATTTCAGAATTGGCTTAATATTATTAGATTCATGATATCCTACGGCATTGATTTACTGAACAAATAATGATTCTTAATTAATCATAATCTTTTAAATATGATCATATTGAAACTGAAAATATAGAAAACTGGGATACCACTTATTCTTTTATTTCCACACAAATTAAGGAAAATGTGGTTCAAAGTGCGGCTAATAGAAAAAACGGGGTGGGCAAATATGAATCGTATAACCCAAGATTGGATGGGGCAGGATACTAATACCTGCTTAAAAGATTCAGTCTAAAATTGCATCGGAAAGCATGACTTTGATTTACAAGAGGTTTTGTTTGTATTTTAACGCGGCACTCAGCAATATTCCAGCTATATGACAGAGGTCTGTAAATAATCGAGTCTGGACCAGACAATCCAATGATTGACATCATTAGCATCAGTCCATGCAATTGGGATAAGATTACATGCATCAACCAAGTCAGCTAGCCTGACCACCCGATCCCATTACTCGCCTCTAACAACAAGCATAGTTGCCTTTTATTGAAAGCATGGGTTGCTGAAGACCTATTCTATCCCGGATGAACACGGGTGACTTACAACATGTACACTGAAGATTTCAAAGGCATGTTGTAGTTTATTTTTCTCAAGGACACTCATACAGCAAAGGTTGCTAAATACTATAGTCAACAATATTCATGCCGTAGCACGTCAGCCTGTAAATAATTATGTCTGGACCAGTGACTGAACACATGAACAAGTTCTACTCCATCTTGTCAGTTCAAGTCCCAGACCACCTGCTACCTATTTTAGTCAAGTTTTGTGAGTGTGTGAGTTGGGTTTAACGCTGCTTTTAACAGTATTCCAGTTATATCACAGCGTGTCAGCTTAGTGTGGAAGGAAAGCCCGAAGTGATGCAGGTCTCAGACATTTACCACTTCGGTGAAACCCACGAGCACGGGTATGGTGCTGACAAACCTAGAAACATAATCGGGGCGAAACGGGATTCGAAGGCACAATCATAGGTTTCTGGCGTGCCCAAGGGACGCCAAATCGTGGCGCTTTAGACGACTGGGCCACCTGTGCCCCCCTCAAGTCTTGTGACCAGCATGAGGTACAGGGCTCACACGCTGACCGGACACTTCCACACGGGTCTCCAGAGTGACCACTTTGGATGACTAGTATGACTGAAACATGTACTGTTCCGGGGGTGCAATGCAGGCTCCAGGTCTCTTACCTTATTTTCTGATGCTACAGTCAGGCTGGAAGAAGTTGAAGTGGAGAAATCTGCAATGGAAATAGTTCACTAAGTGTTTGTTTGTTTTGTTTGTTTGTGTCTTGTTTAACAGCACTCAGCAATATTCCAGCTACATGACAGTAGTCAGTAAATAATTGAGTCTGGACCAGACAGTCCAGTGATTGACATCATGAGCATCAATTCACGCAAGTAGAATATGATAACATGCAGTCATCCAAGACACCAAGCCTGACCACTTGATCCATTTAGTCACCTCATGGGTTAATTCAGAGAAAATTTATGGACGTTAACTTCTATATTATCAGGAACACGTTTTGGAGTATACGCATGCTCCTTCAACAGGTGAATTAAGGAGTAAGCATATACTCCAAAATGCTATATTTCTCTCTCTTATGTGTATCACTTCCAAATGCCATTCAAAGACTGTTTAAAATGAGTTTTTGCGAAAAAAAGTTACCTCCACTCCCATCCACAGCATCCTTCGGGACCTGAAACACATCATTAAACTGATTACACTGAAACGCAGGACAAAACCGATGATCCTGAAACATCTCCAGTCTCCTCACCTCTACGATATCAATGTCCGTGGCAGACCAATGTACAGTGGGTCAGCCAGTCAGATACAAGCAAACGGTTGTGGCTGTAATTCTCTACCTCTGCGCTGAAGATGTAAACTATCATCTAGAGTTGACTGTGATACACCAGCCTTTGTTGAATCCCCTTGTCATACTTCATGGGTTTGTATACACTACCTTCCTCCATTTCCCATAATACATACGGCTGCTTTGAGGTGTAGCGGCGACATGTGCCTATTTGGAGTCAGCCAATTAAATGAGGCCATGTACAATGGAAGTCAACCAGAGGATAAAATTATTGATATCCCTCACAATTGTAAACACTTCTCAAGATGAAACTATATGGAACTTAAAACTGAAAATATATTTGTTTAAAAACTCAGAAACGATCTAAAGGCACAAGTTCACCACTAAACCTATTTATATGCCAAGTTTGTTAAAGTATTACTGTTTTGAAGATCTGTTCCAGAAATGATCATTACTTCTATTTTCAGTGTATGTCAAAGCTGTTGCCGTGGAAACTCAAAAAATTTAAAAAACTAAATCCCAAACTATCAAAAGGCACCAGTTCACCACTAGATCAATCAATGTGACAGAAATATTGGTGAAGAAATATTGCACATTTTTCAAGATCTCCGGAAATGACATCTTGCATGTATGAACACACAGACGTCCATACTGACAGTGTCCATTATAATTAGACGGGTATAAAAAGCCCTACCTTTTGTCTGAGCATTGGCTGTGGCTTGACTCCTTGGTTAAAATTAGCAACTACACGGTAAAGCGGCCACATGAATTCACAGGTGATGGAAGAACGTAGTGAATAAATACACATGAAGAACTGATGATACTTGAATCCACACTTGACTGTACTCCAGTACTTGAGTACTGACGGCTAGATCTCCAGAGAGTAGATGAGAGAGTGAGTGACTGTTGTTGTACGCCACAGTCAGCAATATTACAGCCACACGATGAACACTGTCACATAACCGCAGAATGAAGGTGTCTTGGGTGCAGTGTGTGACATACATGAGAAGATGTACAGGAGTGTGTGGAGGGGCGTACACCAACATTCAGCTTCCTCAACACTCTGTTATTGACACATGTAACACATTCATCACTACATTTCCACAAAGTAACAGAGACTTATTTTCTGGCGATATACATTTGCGTGACAATATCAGTTCTACCAGAGATCTGCCATTGAGCTGGTAAGCAACTAACATCTCATGGTAACTCAAAATGAGGACAGGAGATGACATATAAGACACTATGACGTTATGATGATTGTACACACCGGCCAAAAGACTTGTCAGACAGCTGGATCTTATTACAACTAATTACAATGAATTATCCATGCACTTGCTACAGTCATCTTATTGCCTGTATGAGTGTATACATGTGAGGATAAAAACCCCAGTCTTCGGTGTGACAAGTTAACGCTTTAATCACAGGGCTACCCCACCTGTATATAACACAGGTAATTACTTTGTAAAGCAGTTGATGAAAATGAAGTCAATGATTCAGCTGCTTTGCCACATGACACAACATGTTGGATACATTTTAACAAGAATTATTTTGTTAGAGAGCCCACTTTGTTATAAAACACAGTGGATCAACCTTTCATATTAAACCACAACATATTAACAGTATCAGACATGCCATGTGACCTGTATCGTTCATGTTCGGTTTTGGCAGAGTATATAGATTTTTATCTTTTTTTGTGTGTTGGCGTGAGATATACAATCATATTTGTGAAATAGGTAGTTTAATTTGAGCATGAAATAAGAATCAGGGCACTAATTATGTCAATAAGAAATACATATACCACAGAGAAAAAAAATATCATAAGCCACAATAAATCATCAGATTTTCATTCTGTCCCCCACTTCACTATCAAAAGAAAATCCCCATGTACGATTCCTTCTTCTTTAAGTAATAGAATACACCATAAACAGTTCAAACAATCAAGCATCAAGTGAATCACATCAGTAAACGGTTAATGTGCACAGATGCCCTGAACAGATTCGTTCAAAACAATTTAAAAATAATTGTTTTTAAATGTTTCATATTTTTCAAAAATTGAAAATCTAAAGTAATTTATTGTGGCCTTATATCCCATAAAGGTGTTCTGTTATATCTATTGGGATCACTGGGATAATTATGTCAAATGGTGACACAATACCCATGAAATAGAAAATATGTATCTAATCTACTAATCTGTTTCCAAGAGTTAATGATTGTGCGGATCTTGATTCACAAAGTGCAGAGCTTGAATACAAGGTGGTGGTGGAGGCAGGACAGACATAAAACAGCCTAGATTTCAGCAATACCATAGATACCACAGTTAACGTGTTTAAACAAACAGCATTCCATTTTATCACGAATGTCTCATATAAAAACACCTCTGAAAATTGTAATTAATAAATGCAGCATGAAATCATTGAACTAACAACTGATTGAATACAATTGTAACAGATTGACTACAAGTATTTAAAACACACAATGATGGAGTAACAACTGAGACCCACAGATTGAACCTTGGTGTTTGAAGTACATAGGGGGTGGCATACACAGGGAAAAGGAAAGAAAACCATGGAAACAGATCAACTAGAATATGGGTGATGCAGAATTAAATTCCCACTGCAAAACAAACAAGGTCCATGGATGACACCCCACCATAAAACCAAAATGGACCCTCACATGAAGATGAACAGTTGAACAGGTGCCGAATTCAACTGGAACATTTGCAGAAATCCATGCGATGGTATTAAACTTGAGTAAGGTGAAAACTGCCAAACTAGTAAACATCCAAGAGACACTGCAGATGAATAGCCGGACGTCACTGTCATGCAGTGCTGCATCCTCGGACATAACACACACACAGCCTCTCTGGCGACAGCCCACGGGTGGCGCTCACTACAAACTAGTTCATGCACCGAAGTACTTCCTCTCCCAAACTCTACGCAACAAAACAATGAGCCCATTACCACCAAAAATCTCACCACTTTTTTATAATCTAGAGAAAAAGATCGGCGATGCCTCTCCCGGACGGACTTTGTTAGTAGCTGAGGAGCAGATACCAACTGCAAGAGAGAAGGTTAGAGTGAGCACCTCATTAGTGACTGTGTTCTCCGTTGGCGACCTGGGCTCGCTAAACGACACTGCCCGATCTGCACCCCCCTCCGTGGCGGCAATACCTGCACCTTCATTGGATTTCCAGCTGGGTGCCTGCAATTACAGTTGGGTGACAGTTACATGGTTAGTTTTCAGTTCTCTCCCCTGAGAGTGACGGAGGAGTCCGTCTGTTTTACGCCATCGTCATTGGCGTCACACTTAACACTTAAGGCTGCTTGGATTAATCAGCCTGACACAGGCGCACCATTGGGTGACTGTATGAGCTTCAGACCAGGCCATCCAAGGACATGGCCACTCAACAGTCATAGCTGGCTGATGGCTTCAGCAAGTGGTCAGCCACTTCAAGGACTGTATCCGTAAATAGGAGCTGATCCTTACACTAGCACCACAGTGGAACATCATGGGGCCAAGCTTGAAGTTTCCGCCGAGTCATACTGTATCCTGTGGGAGAGCGTTTATAGACGCAACATGACACTCATCTCCCCTGGCCCTGTTATATGCACCCCAGAGAGGTAATTTATGTACATTGTGCAGTATGATAATCCTTGTGAATGTTGTGCAGTATGATAATCTGTGTATATGTTGTGCAGTATGATAATCCGTGTGTATGTTGTGCAGTATAATCCGTGTGTATGTTGTACAGCATGATAATCCGTGTGTATGTTGTACAGCATGATAATCCGTGTGTATGTTGTACAGCATGATAATCTGTGTATGTTGTGCAGTATGATAATCTGTGTATGTTGTGCAGTATGATAATCTGTGTATGTTGTACAGTATGATAATCTGTGTATGTTGTGCAGTATGATAATCTGTGTATGTTGTTCAGCATGATAATCCATGTGTATGTTGTACAGCATGATAATCCGTGTGTATGTTGTGCAGTATGATAATCTGTGTATGTTGTGCAGTATGATAATCTGTGTATGTTGTGCAGTATGATAATCTGTGTATGTTGTACAGTATGATAATCTGTGTATGTTGTGCAGTATGATAATCTGTGTATGTTGTTCAGCATGATAATCCATGTGTACGTTGTACAGCATGATAATCCGTGTGTATGTTGTGCAGTATGATAATCTGTGTATGTTGTGCAGTATGATAATCTGTGTGTATGTTGTACAGCATAATCCGTGTGTATGTTGTGCAGTATGATAATCTGTGTGTATGTTGTACAGCATGATAATCCGTGTGTATGTTGTGCAGTATGATAATCTGTGTATGTTGTGCAGTATGATAATCTGTGTGTATGTTGTAGTGTATGATAATCTATGTGTATGTTGTGTAGTATGATAATCTGTGTGTATGTTGTTGTGCAGTATGATAATCTGTGTGTATGTTGTGCAGTATGTTAATCCATGTGTATGTTGTGCAGTATGGTATTCCATGTATATGTTGTGCAGTATGATAATCTGTGTGTATGTTGTGCAGTATGGTATTCCATGTGTGTGTTGTGCAGTATGATAATCTGTGTGTATGTTGTGCAGTATGATAATCTGTGTGTATGTTGTGCAGTATGATAATCTGTGTGTCTGTTGTGCAGTATGATAATCCTTGTGTACGTTGTGCAGTATGATAATCTGTGTGTATGTTGTGCAGTATGATAATCTGTGTTTATGTTGTGCAGTATGATAATCTGTGTGTATGTTGTGCAGTATGTTAATCCATGTGTATGTTGTGCAGTATGATAATCTGTGTGTATGTTGTGCAGTATGATAATCTGTGTGTATGTTGTGTATAAGGATAATCTGTGTATATGTTGTTGTGCAGTATGATAATCCATATGTATGAACTATACATTAATTAATATATTACATGATAATCAGTTGGTATGTAACGCAGTATAACAATTGTTGTATATGATATTCAGTAGCTATGTAACACTATTATAATCATTGAATAGATTAATCAGTAGTTATGCTACAAAGTATAATAATCATTGTATAGGATAATCTTTGTGATGTTATTATTTAGGTGTCAACAGAGGTTTCCTGACATACAAGCATATCTAGTAAGTGGTCGAACAACACTAGGGACATGTTAGAGACTGATGCATTCAAAGAGTAAAGTTTGTATTGTAAAAATCAACATACAGATAAGAGATCAATCAAGTTAAAAAAACAAACAACTATTCTTAAAACAAAACCCATATCATTAAAAAAAAATAGCAGACAAAAGGAGACTTGACAACATATACAACTGCGGCAACAGCCAACAATCACGCTTTCATTCACTGACTTCAATAGGCATGCAAATATGGCATTAGGCAGAGACTGGATGGGCATTGGCTAACACTGTGAGTGTGGAGGTCAGAGAGTAGTCTGCCTTTACCGGTCCCAAACCAAGCTCCTTCCCAGCACATGACACCTTCATTACACTCTCGGTATCATTTCTGCCATCAGCGTGGCAGGGGCCATTACAAGAAAATTGAAATTTGCCCTCTAACCATAAATCTAGTAACGTTTAATGCCATGATAGTAAATTTTGAATAGGTTCATGACTGACCATATTTTCCAGGTGAATTTAACTTTTTGTTTGTTTAATCAGATTGGTTGTAAACATAACAGTCAGTCTGTTGCGAGTGCAACTCCAAGCATGGTTGTGGCCACCTTTCACAGTGGGTAACTTTGACTGGCGGCAGCGACAGTATAGAGAGGTCAGTGAATGGGCTATCGCTGTGAGGAGGTTGGTTCCCAACCAGAATGGTGAAGAGGACTTACGTCTTTTGGCGACACTCTCGGCGGAACTGCTGGGGGCGGCAGCAGCGCACTGTAGTGTCCTGGAAACAACAACATGTACCACAACGTTAGAACTTGGCACTAGTCCCGTAGTCCTTGCCAAACTGCCCAATAATTAAAATATCATGAGGACTAATAGAAATTTGCAATTTTTAAGGGTGTTGCTATATGTTATCATTATAAGGACTAGTGGACTAAAAATGTTAGTTTCTACCGCTGTACCATTAGTTAGGGAGGAGTGAGTGAGTGAGTATGGTTTTACGCCGCTTTTAGCAATATTCCAGCAACATCACGGCGGGGGACACCAGAAATGGGCTTCACACATTGTACCCATGTCGGGAATCGAACCCGGGTTTTCGGCGTGAACGAGCGAACGCTTTAACCACTAGGCTACCCGACCGCCCCTAGGTAGTTAGGGAGGAACACACTGAGGGTTGCTTTGAAAAGTTCCCACGAGTTCAGTGATACTTTGAAACTCAATTCAGTTTATGGATTTATCTGACTGGAGAAACAGTCAAGAGGCAGCATACCTGCTTCTGAGCAGGGCTAGATAAAACCCTGAATTGATCAAATCTATTGTATATATAGAACAACACCTCTGACATACAAGTCCATGTTACTGTAAAAACACAGTGCCATAGCACTGTAGCTCACCTGGGTATGTAGTCAACACATTAAAAGTTCAACAGAGACAGACACTTTACAAAAGTTTCTGTCAGCATTTATATTCACATATACTGCTCAAAAGAAGTTTAAGGACACCTTATTATTTCATATTGCTATGGTTAATTTGTCATGACAGTCAGTCAGGCAATTTCAGAAGTCATTTGCAGAGCCAAATATGCATTTTGAGCATGTCAAAGTGCAAAGTTAAAATAATAGTCAAAATTTATAATACCGCCAAAAAACAGAACACAGACTAATTACACACTACTAATTACACATATACTAAATTTCATTACATTTTAACAAAAATGGCTGCGAAATGTAAACAACTGGGTTTTCAATATGGCTGCCATGGCCAACTTTATGCAAAATTAAATTAAAAAAACACTGAGCTGAAGAAAATCTTATGGCTCAATTGGACTTACAGTACATAAGATATTAATTGGTTAGAAAAACATTCCCAAACAAAAAAGCATGTGGCCTTTCATTTCCTCGTTGAAACCTTGAATATACCACCACAGTTTAGCTTATATAGGCAATACAATTTTTTTACTATTTGCATAAACTATTTCCCCATTAATCAACAGTGAAACATCAATAAACTGCTTTCACTTAGACCAACATGAGTGAGTGAGTGAGTTGGGTTTAACGCTGCTTTTAACAGTATTCCAGTTATATCGCGGCGTGTCAGCTTAGTGTGGGAGGAAAGCCCGAAGTGATGCAGGTCTCAGACGTTTACCACTTCGGTGAAACCCACGAGCACGGGTATGGTGCTGACAAACCTAGAAACATAATCGGGGCGAACCGGGATTCGAACCCACAATCATAGGTTTCTGGCGTGCCTAAGGGACGCAACTCTGCACAGCGAATCGCGGCGCCTTAGACGACTGGGCCACCCGTGCCCCCTAGACCAACATGAAAGAGAGATTACTATTAACCTATCAGTTTTTTGGTAGATGACACTTTTTATGGATAACTTCTTTTATCTCTGTAACAATGCTTCAGGGCTACTTCTTGTCCCTTCATAAGGTGAATACTGTGTCAGCGTGTCAGTTCCCTCTCTCTTTCACACCCACACACACTCTCTCAAACACACACACACACACACAGCCACGAACACACACACACACAATACCCACCAACCCAAAACCCACACCCACCCACCCACTCACCCCCACACACACACCCACACACACACACAAACTCACACACACACACACACACACACACACACACACGCACACGCACACGCACACACACGCACACGCACACACACACACGACCACACACACACACGACCACACACACACACGACCACACACACCCACACAAATAAAACAAGTTGTTATCCATAAATAGTGTCATGTATTCATGTTCTTCCAACTTCTTAATGCTTATCAAAAACTTCGATCAGTCCTAGAGATCACATTTTTCAGGTATTCTTAAGACATTGTTAAGCTTCCCAAATGCATCTGTTGATCAATGATATGTGTAACCTGTTATCAGTGACACTGACCTCCTTCTGTCTTTGGCTTGAGATCAACTGACATGCTGCGTCCATGTGTGCCGGGAGGTCGAGGGGGTGGTGCTGGGGGCTCGGAGTTGACTAAAGCTGACTCGCCACTCACAGAGGACATGAGTGCATGGGGCCGATCTGGGCCGCCTTCGTGACTAGTGAGTGGAGGGGGTTGTATATGACCACGAACAACCATTGGCACTGCAATACACAAGGAAAACATACAGACTGTGTCATCACCATCAAATGTCAGTTTCCTGACCACCCATCTGAAACCTCAATCATCTCCTGCTACTGAAGGAAATTATCTCTGCCCTCACAAACATGACTCATAGATAGACAAACAGAAACAAGACCTAGACATAAAGGGAGTCTTGTTATGTGTAAACATATCTCTAAAAAAAAGGTGAGTATAAAGGTCAGTTTGAGCAGCCAAGTCCTTTCAAAAATATTTCAGTTATATTATCACCATGTCTGCTTAATGTGGGACAAAAGTCTGAACAAAGTGAAAATGTGGGAACAAGGACCAAAACCAAACCACCAGTCCCAGAAAAACTAATGAAGCTGTCAAGAACCATAAGAGAATACCTTAGGCAAGGAAAGACACCTTTCATTGGAATTCTAATAATCTTGATATTAATCAAATTAATTCTGCCAGATAAAATCAAACCATCATCCTGAGAATACAATAGCTCAAAAGGTGCGAGACCAGCATGATAATGAGAAAATGTTTCATAACTGTTTTCGGTCCAAATACTCTACCAGTATCCTGATGCAGATAGAAATGACCAAGGATGTTCTTCAGGCACCTACTGTAAATGCTTCCCTAGATTCCCTGATTGGCATTTTATTTTATAAATCCCTGATCTTTTTTCAGTCTCTTGTAAATAACTTTCCCCATCAATTTGAGAACTATTGCTGTAGAAGTTCTGTTACAATACTTTCTCAAATACAAAATATCATTAAAATGTCAACTTACCAGCATTTACATCATCAGGGCCAGCAAAACAGACAACACTACACATACCATAATTGCCGGTACAGTTTGCCATGCACACATGTACAACGCCACTATCACAATGACCAGCACTCCATCACTAGTCAGTCAACCCTACATCTAAATGACATTTTTTTTCCACACATAACATCTGATTGTATGCGAAACAAAAACTGTGGCAGTCTGCACTGTCATAGAGAAGTCAGTGAGAAATTGAATGTTGTGTCAATGCCCCAGTCACTATGTTCTTACGTTCTATGCCACTTTCAGCAATGTTCCAGCTATTTCACAGTGGCCGGTACTTACGTTCGATGCCCCTTTCAGCAATATTTCAGCCATATCAGGGGCAGGGGACACCAAAAATGGACTTTGCACATTGTACCCATGTGGGGAATGGAACCCAGGTCTTAGTGCGGTGAGCCAACACCTTAACCACTAAGCTACCTCACCACCCCTCATGTCTTGGAGAGGCAGACCAGTGTTGGAGGCACAGGCAGTTATCCACGTCATTGTGGTTTGCAACATTGTAACAACCCACAGAGGTCAGCCAGGGTGAAACTGAGGGAGCCGTGGTGTACTGCAAAGGCACATCATCCAGGGCTTTAAGGCATAGGAGTGAGAGTGACTTGGGTTTAACGCTGCTTTGAACAGTATTCCATTCATATCACAGCGTGTCAGCTTAATGTCCAAGGAAGCCCTAAGTGATGTAGGTCTCGGGCATTTACCACTGAGCTCAGTTATGGTGCTGACAAACCAAGAAACAAATTCTAGGTGAACCAGGATTCGAAACAATCGTAGGTTTCTGGCGTGCCAAGGGATGCAACTCTGCACAGCGAATTGCGATACCTTAGAAAACTGGGCCGCCCATTCCCCTGAAGTCATAGGAGTCTGTGACATCTTACGACAATATCAGACTCAACAAAATCATGAACAAAGGAATAGATACGTCATGTTTGAGGCTATCTGGTGGAGAGAGAGAGAGAGAAAGAGACAGTGTGAGGTGAGTGATGCGGACAGTGTCGACAACTGATTGGTGACTACATTCACAACCCTTTCCATGGTAAACAACAGTTCCACTATCAGTGAACACATTTTATCATTGATGTCACAGTACTCACATAGTATTACTGGTATGATTTTAACTGGATGGTATGTAAAGTTGGTATGTAAAGTTAAATTCTTTCTTCTCAAACTCAACAGGAACCTCAATATTTCCAAAACAAAAATGGCACAGGATACTGCATATAAATACATGATTTTAAGTCAGGATAAAGAAAATAATCAATTTTCGAAATTCTAGAGTTTGAAATGACATGATGAACGGTCTCATCCTTAACCTTCTGTATCACAGTATGTGTCCTGCATACATAAATATCATATTCTGTCAAAAACATCAGTCAATGAAACCAAGCCCATGAACTGTCATTCCACATGTTTCCAATAGATTTTACTCCTAACACATAACATCTTAAACTATCCTCACTGCCCAGAATATTTTTGTACCAAATTTGTTTATTGTTTAACACAGCACTAGCAATATTTCAGCTATATGATGGTGGCCTGAAAATGATAAGTCTTGACCAGAAAATCCAGTGATTGGTTTTGTGAGCATCGATCCACGCTGTCAGGGTACGATGACATGCAATCCCTCAAGTCACCGGGCCTCATCATCTGGTCCATTGTCACCTCTTACAACCAGCATAGGTTGCTGGGGAGAAATTATTACCTGGAATCTCCACAGGTTTACAAGATAGACTCCAACATTTGTAGTACATAAATTGATAGTTTATCTGAGCGTGTGTTCTATCAGTGAGACTCCTGTTATCACAAACACATGAATATCACATCCATTTTCGACAACGTTTGCCATTGACAATAAGATTGTCTGTTTAGCAGGCATGTTTCTGTCTACCTGGATTTTGCTTCTTTGCAATAGGCCTGGGTCGGCCATGGAGGGGTGTGTTGTATTTAGCTGAGGGGTCACTCTGACTAGGGTCAGGGTAGGATTCAGTATTGGAACGTTGCTTTGTGGGGGTAACAGCGTCCGGCGAGTCGGGTGGGGCACAGTCATGCGACCCGGGATCTGCAATACCCATGGAAACAACGCAACTAAACAAACTAAAGACAACATCAATGATGCAAAACAAGGAGAAGCAAACTCAATGGACAGAATGTCAACCACTTGTGCATGCAGTTTAACATTAACACATTGAAAGTCCAATAGTTTACAATTCATGGATATTTGCAATTACATCAAAACCAAAAGAATATTCTGACATATTTTCAAAGCTTATTTGCCACTTAGGACTATCATGCATGCACAAACTACCGACTAGAAACTTGAAACTGAAACTGACTGGTGATACAAGATGGCGTTATTGTGTCAGTGGGTACAGCACATGCACAAGGAAGCCCTGTATTTTATCCTGCTGATGATTGATGGAAAGAAGCTATGTGACAAGAGACAAAATAGTTCTTCCTACTGCTTTGTTTTTAATTTTGAATTTAATAATAAACCATAAACAGATTTTCTCATTTGAGTGAGTGAGTGAACTGGGTTTTATGCCACTGTTATCAATATTCCAGCATTGTCATGCAGGAGACATAAGATATGGACATTTGAACCTGATGTGGCTCGACAAGGAGACATAAGATATGGACATTTGAACCTGATGTGGCTCGACAAGGAGACATAAGATATGGACATTTGACCCTGATGTGGCTCGACAAGGAGACATAAGATATGGACATTTGAACCTGATGTGGCTCGACAAGGAGACATAAGATATGGACATTTGAACCTGATGTGGCTCGACAAGGAAACACTCTAACCTCTGTGTAACCCTACCTCGCCTTTCTTATTTGAAAAATAATTGAGGAAAATGTCCAAAAAGTGAGCATTCTGTCAGTTTACAATTAGTACTAACATTGCACTATTTCTTAACTAAAATTAACATTAAAAAAATCTGTAAATGTCAAGTTGAAACGGAAAGATTAAATATTTGAAATATACTTTTATCACAAACCTACATTCCAAATATAACCGAACTCTACTGCTCAATAAAAAGTTCTCAAGGAAAGTACTCTAACTCGGAAATCCTGTGATACTTATTACCCAGACCCCACTCCTCAAAGGGCCATGACAGACAATTATACATTTTCATCTCACATTACGACAATCCCTGCCCTATCTCTGCTCGTAATGTTTCAGTACATAATGTTTCAAATGTTGCTGCATATACAGAATATTTGACACATGGCCCAGAGGCCAACTTAAAAAAAAGATATTAAACCCAAACCACCTCATGTTAATTTTAAAATATGGAAGTTACCAAAAACATAAATTAAAAAAAAAAAATTAATCAGAATATGGAAGATACCAAAACAAGAAAATGAAAAAAATAAAAAAAATATAGAAAACCCAGATCAATTTGTGAACGCTATTTTTTCCCTTACATATTCCATACAGCCAACGTGACAACAACGACAATGTGACAGTGTACGATACGTAAAGCAGTAGAATGTTAGAAGAGTGAGTGGGAAGGCTCCATCACCAGCCTCAATACCTGACAATGCCCTACCCCTGTCGAATCCCTCTGGTGCTATCGGGTGACCGTCCGGAGACATTCGTACAGCCACAGGGTGAATGATCTTCGAATCCTGAAACAAACATTGGTCCTAGTTAGTAGGTTTTCTCAGAAGTAAAACTCAAAAACCACTAATGTTATGAATAGTTATTAAAGAAAATGAATAATGAATTTACTGTTTTAACCATTACATAAGCATACAATTAAGAATAAAAGTAACTGTGTCAATATGTAATTAGTTTCATTTTCATTTTTACAATATACTAACTGCCAAGGACAGAAATGTTAGTATATAAATAACCGCCAAGGACAGAATTATTAAAAAATGTTAGTATACCTCTGTATTGACACAAACATTAGGCAAAAACAGTCTTAGTTTCTTGTTTCCAATTCTTTTCTACAGGTTTAATTGAAATTTATTATGTGACAAGAGCAGGTAACTCTGACCACACTTCATGATCAGTTGCCTGGCAACGAGAGCTCTCTTGACAAGAACTAAATCTTGTGCAGACAATGTGAATGAACAATTTCATGTCATCCAAATTATTTCTTCAAAACAAAACACAAGAAATACAAGACATATTTAGGCCTTTGCTGCATGTTAGATGGTTAATGTTTTACTGAAGTTGCTAAAGCAGAAAAGTACCAACGTAAAATGAGAAACAACTGAAGTAACAAAAATACTTAAAACACATATTTATGCAAGTGCAAACCTTGACACATAGTCAAGGGAATGATATTAAGTTTCTATTACGACTACCCTACATGGATAGAGTTAACATGACAGAATTAGCTTGCATCTGCAAGACTATCTCGTGTTCACACTGCAAGGTACATACAGTACAGGGGTCCGGAAACTTTAAAATCCCAATTGGACTTTTGCATTTAGGCCACGCCCCCTGCAAATAGCGTATTTTAGTACGACTTTTTACACACACATTACAAGTTGTTACGTATTCATAATATGATGAATTATGAATTGTTTCAATTTAAATTGTTTAATTCACCGGACAATTAATAACAAATAATATCATTTTAGATATATATGGAAAACATACGTTTGTTTCTGTTATAATAACGATCTGTTAACGTAGTGAACGGTCTAATTAATATTCATGAGTCTGCTCAAGTGTACTGTATTACAGTACCATGGGATAACAGTCCAATCTCGCTACCACTACACAGAGATCTGAGGACATCCTATTACAGGTCATGTCAGAATCTGACCAAACCGAGCAATGCTTATGAGAACACATAACAAAAATCCAAATGTTTTCTAATCATGCAACCATGGAGAGGTTAACACAAGGCATTCTGAATGATAGTGAGGGGCTGTACCACTTATTTCATCAAAATGATCATTATACCTCTCACTTCAATGGATAAACATTTCAATCAGAAGAGACTTTCAATAGCCGGTGGAAAGTACTGCTATACCATCTCATCCATTTAATAGACATCCCAGAATGTTCTTTTGTTCAGTTTTATATCAAGAACTTAGTCCAAGAAAACATAACGTAGTCTGGAATGGAAGTTGCCAGTTTAAAGTATTGCCATAAAACTAAAAAAAGCTGCTTTCTGACGGTCTTCCTGTCAGTCATTCCATTCGTCCGTCAAAGTCTGCGAAAGGCTTGACCTGTAATGGGATGTCATCAGATCTTTGTTTAACAGCAGTGAGCTCTAAGATCTGATTTTTATGAGATTGGTCAACAGTCTTAACAAGCAATGATATAATCCAAAGAAAGAAGGAAAAAATACGTACTCTACAAAGCATCTTATATTTTGATTAGTACTTTAACTATCAGTCAAAACAAAGCATGTCAGTTTAACATTCAACTCTAAACATGAAATCAAATCGATAATCATTTCTATTGCCTTTTACAGTTCCAAATGAAGGTCCTGTTCTTGCTATATTAGTCGCTCACTGAATACAAATACAAGCTTTAACATTAAGGCAAGCACCCTGCTGTTAATGTACAGATTGCAATGAAATTTACACCACAAAACATGGGGAGCACTACAAAGAGAAAGGTTAAACCCTAACCACTGTGAAATGTCAAAAAGCATGAAGTCAGCAGAGTGGCTGAGCACAGAGCTCTGTGTGATGCAGGGTGCACTACAAAACTAAAACCTACTCTACCATAAAACCGACTACCCATATTTGAGGAAAAACAACATTCTCCTATTCCACAACAGAGTGCAAGTCTTGTGAATATTCACTGCCTTAGCTGAAGACTCAGTGAATCCACAGTTATCCAGGGAATAGCCTCTCACCATAGCTGTCTATCTTATCGAAACCATCCCGAATGCCAATAACCAATTAATGATCAAAGGGAGATAACTCTAAATACATGATAATTTCACTGGACTTAACAAAAATTAAATTTTGATACGAAAATATACATTAAGTTTAAATGTATTCTGCATTTACTTTGTATATGACCATGTATACATGTTGCTTGTTAATTCATTCAAAACACTCTAGTTCAGACTAGACAACAAATATTGATTCTCTGCTATGAGGAGTGCACTTATTGCAAATGATCTTAAGCAGTGCGATGGCCATGTAAGCTGGCATGCGTCTACCCCCTGGATAACTATAGTGTAACAGTGCAAACACAGAGAAACCTGCGCAAAAATACTCACAGGGTCTGCAGCATTAGGCTTAGCAAACTCAAAGTTGACTGGCAATAGGGCAGGGGAGGGAACTCCGCTTGACCCTGGAGATTCCTGAACAAAGCTAGCAGTCCACTGTATAAACAAGAATTGTCTGTTGTCAAACTGACTACCTTATCTCAACCTCCACGCAGATCTCTCTCACAGAGAATTCCTAACTTTATCTTATATGATGATGATGATGATGATGATGATGATGATGATTATATATTAACACCTGAACATGTACTATACCAATCCTAAACAATATCAAACTAGTTGACACAACAATGTCAGCTATCTGTGTAATGAGTAGTCAGTACTGCTGACCTCTATGACAAGAATAAACAGTGATATCATAGGAGTGATGCTCTTCTTTCCTCCCTGAAATCAGTACATTTCAACATAAGACAAAAACAGAGAGCTGGTATGAGGTATGTGATTCTACATGAAGTTTAGCAGGCGTTAAGCTGATAGACGTCTATAGAGACCTGTTACCTCAGATCCGTTGCCAGTCACATGACACAACACATGATCTGGTAACCCAGGATAAGTTGAATCAACTCACAAAACGTGTTGCAGACAAGTAGGCGGTGCATATAATTTGGGCAAAAATAATTGGTTTGTTATAGGTAAAGAGGGTGTACGTATGTTGTGCACATGCAGTTCATGACGATGAAATTGCCTACGTTTCGGGGACACACATGTTGCTCATAAGACTATTGAACACGCCACTAGAACCCGTTGTTAGCCGAGACAGGACACACTCATATCCATGTTACCACTTGTCGCGGACCACCCACTACCCCTTTCTTTGCAATGGTACATGCCAGTGGGTGGACCTCAAACATAGTCCTACGGGGTGAATTGTCAGGTCACAACTCAACTTATCCTGGCTTACCAGTAGATATAGACAGTTAATATCCCCTTGGTTATTACTTTACATAACACACACAGATAATATATAAGGTCTGTCAATAAATGTTACAAATCATAAAACGGCCATCCTTTCTTACATATTTGTCAACAAATTAAATAAATCATCAAATATCTGCTCTATACATTTTCCACTTGAAACATGATTCATAAACAAATACTGTTAAAATGAACAAAACATTTGCATATAAAGTAAATATAATTCTATTCGTTCATAGATATGTTTACCAAATTATGTGATTAAAGATTATGTTACCTGATAAAACAATATAGAATTGAAATGAGATTTGTGTAGACATCCTAATCTTATAAGCTTGATGTTGCTGATAAGAAACGTAAAATAGCCACTCAAAAATATATAACAAAATGCATATGAGAACAAGCCTTGCTTCAGAAACAGAGAACCTAGAGAATTCTACAGAAACAAGAGACAGCTGCTGAAATGAGTTTGCTAAATGACAGGGCAGTACAAGGTGTCATGGCAACAGTTGTCATGGCAACAGCTTCCCTCCATCATCTCTCACCTGACTAGCCTGGGGGGAGGGGGGCGTGGTTCTCTTGAGGGTGCTTCCAGGGGGTAGGTCAGCTGCAAATGGTTCATCTAGGAGAAGACAAGTGGGAATACATTTGCCAACTACTTCCATTATTGTAGTCAGAAGAACACATGTGAGAGGTTGATCCATGTCAGGTCTCAGATATGTGGCCAATTCTTAGATCCATTGTATGTACATCAAGTATTGTAGAGTGAGTGATATAATTACATCACAGCATGTCAGATCGATATGTGAGTAAAGTCCGAAATGACCAATGCAGGTCTAGGATGTTTATCACTTTATATCACAGTATCACAAACTCATAGTATCACATAACAATTTGTGATTCTGTATTCAAGCTAATAAAGCCAAAAAGTATCATGTAACCATAGTAACAAACCACAGAGTAATCTACTTTTCTTGCTACAAGTCCCAGCAGCTTTTGGCAACTTCATCCTCCTTTTGTACATGCATGCACGCACACTTCTGCACACTTCCGCACGCACACAGCACGCACGCACGCTCATACACACATACACACATACACACATACATACATACATACATACATACATACATACATACATACATTCATACATACCCACGCGCGCACGCGCACACACGCACACACACACACACACTTCTGAAGGACTATCCTGGCTTACCACTTGTGAGTGTAGCATACGGCATGAGAGAGAGGGGTAGACGTTCCGGCAGTTCAATCTCATTCCGTCGCAACACAACCAGATGCATGGCAATACAGAACTCCTCCAGAGACAGAGCTCCATCCCGATTCAGATCTGAGAGTTGCCTGGAAACAGATGTTACATGTCTAAGGAGATGCTTAACACATGATACTGAAAATAAGTTATATACATACGCTAAGGTATTGTGACCTATCCATGATCTCAATTAAATCAGACAAAAATTATCATAAATTGAAACGAGGCATCACTCACAACTAATGAGACTAGAATACACCAAGAAATCTTATGCCTTAAAGTTTTATATCATGATCACAATATCAGACAGTGTGCTATATTACTGAAAAGAAATACTCACCATATTTTAGATAGCTCTACTACTGGCAGTTTAGACTTCTCAAAAAAGTCTTTGGCTACTTTTCCTGTAAAAACAACCACAACAAAACATATGAGCTGTAAACTGAGTTTTCCACTCAAAGGATATTTGTCCGTTGAGGTTGGTTCCTTCACTCCCCCCAAAACAATTATTGTTATATGTTTATTCCTTTCAGAAGGAAACATAAAACAGAGCGTCCCTGACTGGACTTCATGTGACCCTTACATCAAGGTCACCTGACATGATGGGCAAATGAATTGTCTCCCTTCACTCAACTGGCACCTGAACAACACAGTAACAAATAATTCTACGACAAAGACTTCCAAAACACATATGGGTAGACAAGATAGTTTCTTCAAGCTTCAAAAGGTAAAGGGATAAAAGTTTTCATGGATAATCTCTCTTTATCTGCTTTCTAGCAAGGTGTTTTTGAGGATGCACAGCGATGCCTGGAAAACAAGAGAAAAGTGCCCAACATCATACAAGTGAGATTAAATGCCAGGAGTAGTCTCCCTTACCTGTAATGACGCCCCCTAGGTCCGGCTGCATGGTCTTGAACTGTTTCATGTAGTACTCTCTCTGTTCCTCACTGATGGCCCAGATGTCGTCCACGCTCTCCGCCTCCGAGCTGATGGAGGATGAGTCGAACCCAGGAGGCTCCAGATGATCCCACTTCTTGACGCCAGCACCTAGCAACACTGAAACAGTAGGCATGGTCAATAGGCAGCACCTAGCAACACTGAAACAGTAGGCATGGTCAATAGGCAGCACCTAGCAACACTGAAACAGTAGGCATGGTCAATAGGCAGCACCTAGCAACACTGAAACAGTAGGCATGGTCAATAGGCTGCACCTAGCAACACTGAAACAGTAGGCATGGTCAATAGGCAGCACCTAGCAACACTGGATCAGTAGGCATGATCAATAGGCAGCATCTAGCAACACTAGAACAGTAGGCATGGTGAAAAACTGCTCAAACCATTTTCAAGCTACTGGGATATTACATATCACTGAACAGACATATTCTGGCGAAATCGCAGCATTACTGTAACACTGACATGGCATGCATTCATTCACCTCATGATTTAGGTCATATTTTGTTAATGTACAAAATGAATAAAAGAACATCTTACTGTGACTGTCCTCGTCTTCAAACAAGGCCCAGTTTCCGTTTTCACTGGTGGAGTTGAGATATGCTCCTCCGGCCAGGGCCACAGGGTTCACATGGCCACCGTCCAAACTTGCCATCTTCACGCTTACAGGGGGCGCTACCGTGACGGCAGGGTATGTGGCAGGGGCAGTCTGCTGCTTCAGTAGTTGTCTGCGGACCGCTGGGGGGGAGGCAGGAGGGGATTGTCGGGGGGAGAAGGGAGGGGACTTGGAGTCGTTGGATTCCTCTTTGTTGGTTGTCTGAAACATCCACAGTTTAGCGTACAGACCATATTAACAGGGGAACTTCTGTGAAAGTATGTGTTGTATTACTCATATAAAGCAATCATAGTTTCAATGACTAATGAATGGCAAACTTTGACATCATTTTCTGTTTGAAAAAATAACCATTACCAATAACCATTATCCAGTTCCATGTTTTTCTAACCATCAGGAAATAATAGGCTATAGCTGACAGTGTTGCGAGCATTCTTCCTAGCCATTTATAAGTAGGATGCACTACATCAGTGAAAAGTAGCGGACTGTCCCATCATACAACAGTCATTGTGACCAACCAATACTCCCTGCTCTGTCATGACAAGGAAAACTGTGTATTGCCAAGGTAACGAGTCTGAGTGGAGGAGTAAGATTATAGTGAATACCAAAAGCAAACCATTAATACCAATGCACCGTTAGAAAAAGGCTCTGGTCCTATAGTCAAAAATGCCAAATAGTGAAGGTATCATAAGGACTAGTAGAAATTTGCCCTTTTTAGTGGTTTTGCTATATGTTGTCATTATAAGGACTTGTGGACTGAAATTGTTAGTTTCTATCGCTGCAATGTGAATTGTAACTTGTGGGAGAAGACTCAATGACGCCAAAACATTATCTGGAACCCTGGATGGGAGTACTCACTTGTGGCTGTTGTGCATTGAACGGTTGCTGTCCCTCCGTGACGACCCCGCGGTACTGCCCGGACAAACTCCGTGTGTGGGACTTCTTTGCTGAAGGAGGAGGGGGAAGCTGGCCAGCCGTGCCGCTGGCTTTACTGTAACAGTAACATCACCTTACTGTAACACTGACATCACCTTACTGTAACAATGACATCACCTTACTGTAACACTGACATCACCTTACTGTAACACTGACATCACCTTACTGTAACACTGACATCACCTTACTGCAATGCTGACATCACCTTACTCTAACACTGACATCACCTTACTGTAACACTGACATCACCTTACTGTAACACTGACATCACCTTACTGTAACACTGACATCATCTTACTGTAACAATGACATCACCTTACTGTAACACTGACATCACCTTACTGTAACAATGACATCACCTTACTGTAACAATGACATCACCTTACTGTAACAGTGACATCACCTTACAGTAACAATGACACCACCTTACTGTAACACTGACACCACCTTACTGTAACACTGACATCACCCAACTGTAACAATGACATCACCTTATTGAAACACTGACATCACCTTACTGCAACACTGACATCATCTTACTGTAACATTGACATCACCTTACTGCAACACTGACATCACCTTACTGTAACACTGACATCACCTTACCGTAACGCTGTCATCACCTTACTGTAACATTGTCATGTCTCTACTGTCACACTGACATCACCTTACTGTAACATTGTTATCACCTTACTGTAACATTGTTATCACCTTACTGTCACACTGACATCACCTTACTGTAACATTGTTATCACCTTACTGTGACACTGACATCACCTTACTGTGACACTGACATCACCTTACTGCAACACTGACATCGCCTTACTGCAACACTGACATCACCTTACTGTAACACTGACATCATCTTACTGTAACATTGATATCCCCTTACTGTAACACTGACATCACCTAACTGTAACATTGACATCACCTTACTGTAACACTGACATCACCTTACTGTAACACTGACATCACCTAACTGTAACAATAGCATCACCTTACTTTATAGTTAAAATGTCAATCCTCCTAGTAATGTGTGGGCCCTGTAACTTGATATTGCCCGCATCTTGCCTAACATCAGGTCATTCATAATCAATCATTTCGCCCTATGACATAGTTAATTTGCATACAAATGTAACAAAAAATGGCGCCTGCATAGGTACAGCTCTGTCAACCCCCCCAGTCAACTGATGATATGTGGGTCGATGATGTCACGTGCATATATTTATATGAGCACAATAGTAACTTGAACACTTCAGCAATGTTTAGGCAGAAGTCTAACAATCAAACCTTCCTCGCAGTATCAATAATTGCATTGTTAATCACTATTAATTACAATGTCCAAGTCCATCCAAATCTGAAAAATGCTGTTTGAATAGCTCACTAAACTGTCTCTCTCCGACGCTGAATGACATTGTTGAATGACAATGTTGATGACATGTTTCTTGGCCAGTGTCACACTGACCTCTGATGTTTTCGTGTTAATAACTGCTTCCCACACGATGTTGCCTGATTCTACTGGGCCGTCTAAATATCATCATGCTTAGGACAAATTCTACCCATTTAGCTATACTGATGGTAACGTTATTTTTCAACTTACAAAAGTTAATATATCTACTAAAACTGAATGTTCTTGTGTCACTTGTCATGCCACTTCATGTGTTACTTCCTCACACAGTTGTTTTCATTTGGGGGAAAAAATCCACTTAAATAATATGCACCATCATCTACACAGTCTACCTAGGGGGGAACTATTTACACAAGAAAATATCCTTCTTTCCCAAGTGAAGATGCACAGTGAAACCCTCACTCACCCATCTGCAGTGACCGGTCCGACCTCCTGGTCAGAGGTGGAGGGCCATCTTCGCTCACCTGAAACATGAGACACAACCAATTAGTGAGCCACTGAATGACTGACACACACACACCAGAAACACCTGCACCTGTCTCATCGATACAAACCAACCAACCTGACCAACACATTTAAAGTACATTCCCTACAAATACAGGGACAAAAATGTATTTGATTTCAAGTGTGTAACAGGGAACGCCCAGTGATGTTTAGAGGTGGAATGTCGGTGTGCCAAGAAGAATTTTTTTTTATCCATCTTCAAATTTCCTCTTTCTTTTCCATTCAGATTGGTAATAGGGCTTTAACAGGTCCAAAAGTGTGAACCTGGGGTTGAGTGAGTGAGTATGGTTTTAGGCCACTTTTAGCAATATTCCAGCAATATCGAGGCGGGGGACACCAGAAATGGGCTTCACACACTGTGCCCATGTCGGGAATCGAACCCGGCGTGACAAGCAAACACTTTAACCACTAGGCTACCAGACTGCACCTTGGGTTGAAACGAGACTCATATGCAGTTTCCTTCATAATAACACAGAGTCAGCTTATGAACAAGCATTTCATCACATTACTTCCTGTATATTTTGAGTAACAGCAAGCGTTATGTACATCAACTATTGAGTAAGCTGTTATTACACCCACCTGTTTCATTACTGTTCTTTTCCAAGACAAGTCGACCTAAACATGTCAGTCACATCGTGCATATTTGTCGTTTTAAATTCACTGGAATATTGTGGAACTGCTGAGTATGAAATCGCCTTTCGTAATATGTAAACACATGCAGTTCCATGCACGATATCAGCTGCCCATGCTGGCACATCAATGTAAAATAGCAAAGACAAATAGAGTGATCTCCCCTTAGAAGGTCCTGAGTCCTCAAGCCTTGCTGAAAGTGACTCAGCATGGAGTAATTATTGAATTATTGAGCCCCAATTGGTTGTGTCCTATTTGAATTTCTGAATCCTCAGTTTTATTTTATGAATCATACTCTACATTTATTTCGTATGTGCACTTTACTTTGTCCAGATTACTTTTGAAAAAGACCGGAGGTGAAATGGGGTTTAACATCACATCCAAGATAATTGCACTTTTATGGAGACATGCAAGCACATGTGTGTGTGTGGTTGCTTGTACTAGTCTGGACTAAAGCCAATTTTGTAATGTTAACCCACTGAGATACCATGTCGCAGTTTTACATAAATAAACACGATAAACACCAAAAAAGGATTACTGAAGAATCTAAGTGTAACCTTCATGTACCCAGAACTTATTTTAACTGTGCCTATACAATCTTAACCATGCCACTCTAATACAACATCTATATAGAGAACCAAGTCTGTACATATTGATTCTCAACCTTACTTTAGTGACACTATTGCTGCTTGTAGCTGCAACACAATCTAGCTTATTCCACATGCACAAACGAATAATCTGTCTGCATAAAAACTTAATCTACATTTGTATCCACTTATGTATATATTTTCCATCATAACTATCATCATTACATGTCTTACGCTTAGGAATATAAACCATAATGCGAATTAAATTTGATGATAAAAAAATGAAAACGAAATATTACCTTGTTCGTTGACTTTCGTAAACTTTGGCAAAGCTATGTCTACACCTGTGAACAAAAAAGAGAACAATTGATACACGTTCAACAAAACTACACATCTTCAATAAGGTGAGATGAGGTGAAATTGGGTTTAACTTCGCGTAAAATATAATTGCACTTATATAGCGACATGCATGCACGTGTGTGTGTGGCTGCTTGTACCAGTCCAGACTGATGCCGATTTATAGTGCTACCACACTGAGATACCATGCTGCAGTTTAACATGAATACCCCACTCAGACACAGTATACTGACTCCAAGCGGACCAGTCCTTGTTTTAGCCCCTTAATGCCGAGCACCAGACAAGGGAACAACAAGTACCATCTTTTAACATCTTTTGGTATGACACGGCTGGGGATCAAACCCCAGACCTTCCACTCTCTGGGTGGACGCTCTACCACTAGACCACGGAGGTGGTCCATCTTCAATAACATCAACATTGTTTGCATCTCCATCAATAGATGTCCACCACTGTCATCATGATGACCAAGTGATAATTGACACTTGTCATCAGATCATTTGTCAACAAGAAAATAGTCATTGTTTACCCTCATTGTCACGTTCTATCATCATCATCATGTTTTGCTTTATCATCATCAATATTTACAATTGTTTAACTTCATCACCATTTCAGCTAATGCCAATAGCATCATCACCATATATCATCATCATCATCACCAATTATCATCATCATCACCACCATATATCATTATCATCATCACCAATCATTATCATCACCACCATATATCATCATCATCATCACCATATATCATCATCATCATCACCATATATCATCATCATCACCACCATATATCATCATCATCACCACCACCATATATCATCATCATCATCACCACCATATATCATCATCATCATTGCAATGGACTAAGAAGCCTCACCATCATGAAGTCCCTCGACCACAGCTGCAGATGTCACTTATCTAACCCAAAACTGCTTCGGCCACAATACTTAATACAAGTCTAATTCTGCCTGTTTGACTATTTTGGGTCTAATTCATTTATCTCCTGATCAGAGGTACTTTGATTTACTCCATTATTTTGCAGCCTGGCAGTATTATTAAGCTGCATGATTTATCCCAATACCATCCTCAGCCAACAAAGTGAAGTAATACCTCCTCTTGAGGCTGCAGCATCACAGTGACCCATGATAGCATCACCAGTATGACAGTCATCCCACACTGCCTGCGCACACACACAACACGTAGGCGGCACGCACACACACCACACGAAGGCGGCACGCACACACACCACACAAAGGCGGCACGCTCACGCAGGGGACACCCACTTGCTAGATTTATATTCTCTTCTCTTCCAGCAGACAGCGGAACGTTTTTTTATCTTAATGAAGCTATCATAGAGATGGGGAAACAGTGACACATTTATGTAACATACAGCCACACCATTGATTTAGTTAGAGAATCCCAATTAGCTTCTGCATCTCAAGCAGACTAGTAATGTTGAAAGAACAATGTACTTAGGATGTGTCAGTACAATGGTATTAAAGCGCACTGTTCCTCAGAGCAATCTTAGAACTTTAATCAACGTAACTCCTATACTTTACAATAGAGACATAAGATAACTACGCGATAAACCACAAATAACAATGAAGAATGAAGCATGGTTTATTTTACGATAAAACATTGTTCTATCATGACATCATTTTTGGAGAATCGAGCGTACGCTGGCAACTTGATGACGTCGTATATTGGATAACATTATGTTTGAGAGGGAGGTGTTTAATGAGCTGTTCCTTATGGATTTAGCTTGGCAATGCAGTAAACCCAGCGGCCGAACGATCACATCTAAGAGTGGGAGAGATATGACAATATGTATTGGGAGAAAGGTATAGATAATCCATGTGAAAATTGTGAGTATATGCGGGAAATAACAAACTTAACCCACCTGTTCATAACATGGACTTGTCTGACATTTCCGAGGTTGATATCTATTCAGGGAGTCATCATTTCATAATATGGTTAAATATATTAAAAGCTTGTACATTTTATCATTATCCTTAAAGAGGCTGTACATTTTGTTCATATCTCAAATAAGAAATGAATTACTGATAATAAAATGTGAACACTGTGTGTATTCTACTGATAATAAAATGTGAACACTGTGTGTATTCTACTGATAATAAAATGTGAACACTGTGTGTATTCTACTGATAATAAAATGTGAACAGTGTGTATTCTACTGATAATAAAAAGTGAACACTGTGTATTCTACTGATAATAAAACATGAACACTGCGTGTATGCTACTGATAATAAAAAGTGAACACTGTGTATTCTACAGATTAAAAAATGTGAACACTGCATGTATGCTACTGATAATAAAATGCGAATACTGTGTGTATACTACTGATTTTATGAATCTTGTGTCAGAATTCATGAAGTTTCCCAAGAAAAGATCAGGCATTCATTTAATAAATTCAGTCTGACACCGACACGCAAAAATTGTGTCTGATGTTGTTTGACATCACACTCAGCAATATTCCAGCTATATGACCGCCCCCTGTAAATAATCAAATCTGGACCAGACAATCCAGTGATTGACATCATGAGCATCGATCTACGCAATTGGGATACAATGACATGTATCAACCAAGTCATTAAGCCTGACCACCCGATCTCATTTGTCGCCTATTACGACAAGCATAGTCGCCTTATACGACAAGCATGGGTTGCTGAAGACCTATTTCACCCCTGATGCTCATGGGTGTCAACAAAGTTGCCTCATACGACACGCTTAGAGCTATGGCTGCATTGTGAACCAAGAGCCTGGCATCTCCACTGTAAATATACAAGTGCGACTCAGTGTGCTGATGCAATAATGCATAGTGTCAGTTCGACATTATCAAAGATAAGTTGTTTCCCTCTAAGAACAAAGACACTATTATTCAGTTTCTGTCTGGGTGTGAGAGGTTGTGGTTGACATGTTATTATAGACTTCAAAGCAACGCTGATGAGGAAATTATGTAACAAAGCAAATCCCTTTCCAGAAATGTCTTTAATATTTATGTTCAAGACGAAGCAATCGATGGAGAATAAGTGGTTCACTATTTGTAGTTGACATAGAAGACATTAGCACTAACGTAAACAACAAAATATGAACATGATCACATAACAAATCACTGACGACACTTGCTGAAATCATCATAGCTGAATAAGTTTAGCTGATACAAATGTATTGATCATCTATTGTCCAACGCTGCCCTTGTTGCACTGTTTTCCATAGGTGAGGTGAAGTGAAATGGGGTTTAACATCACGTCCAAGATAATTGCACTTATATAGCGAAGTGCATGCACGTGTGTGTGTGTGTGTGTGTGTGTGTGTGTGTGTGTGTGTGTGTGTGTGTGTGTGTGTGTGTGTGTGTGTGTGTGTGTGTGTGTGTGTGTGTACGTGTGTTTGGCTGCTTGTACTAGTCCAGACATGCCGATTTATAGTGCTACCACACTGAGATACCATGCTGCAGTTTAACATGAATACCCCACTCAGACACAGTATACTGACTCTGAGCCGACAAGTCCTTGTTTTAGCCCCTTAATCCCGAGCACCAGACAGGGTAACAACAAGTACCATCTTTTAACATCTTTTGGTATGACGCGGCCGGGGATCGAAACCCGGACCTTCCGCTCTCCGGGCAGACGCTCTACCACTAGACCACGGAGGCGGTATGTTTTCCATAGCCTAGAATAGCCTTACTGTTATACATGTTTCAGGGGGTCCACAGCTTCAAATTCTGTAATCCAAAATGACCCAGGACCTGCTTATGTCTAACACTGTTCTCAATTATTGTCCATGTTTTCCTGCATAGTTGAGTACACCCTAATGCTATAGCGCGTCCTGATTGATTTCCTGGTTGAAGCCTCCCAACACAAAGTTGTAGATCATCTTGATCTATCCATCCTGCTGGTCTGACTGCAAGGAAGTGCCTCGACAAGGAACTTATGAATAGGACTAATTAATTCCACACAATAAACCAACTTGTGCTTAGCAATGTTCATTAATGTCTCACGCTATAGCTGGAATATTGCTGAGTGTGGCATTAAACAACAAAGCAACCAACCAACATCAATAATCTTGTCCTGCGAGTGCCTGAATGAGTACAAATGTGTAGCAGTTTCAATGACTGAGTCAGGAGAAGACATGCTGACAAAGGCAGACCAAAGTGTTCATTTTCAGAATCACTTCATCTAAATGACATAACCTAACAACAGTTATTTTCAATTCATCAATAAAATATACAAATATACAAACGATTATCACGAAAAAAATTCACATCAATATCTGTATTAGTTAGTTGGTTTGTTGTTTAACGCTGCACTGCAATATTACAGCTATATGACAGCGGTCTGTAAATAATCGAATCTGGACCAGACAATACATTGATTGACATCATGAGCATCAATCCACGAAATTGGGATCGATGACATGCATCAACCAAGTCAGCGAGCCTGACCACCCAACCATTTAGTCGCCTCTTATGACAAGCATTATTAGTCACCTTTTACGGCAAACATGGGTTGCTGAAGACCTATTCTACCCTGGATCTTCACGGGTCTGTATTAAAGATTCATAGTTTCGTACATTCTTAACATAGATGCTACAAGTGGGGATAAGCTTTGTTTTCTTTCCATCAAATGGGAAAATTAGATCATAACAAAAGAATATGTTCATGAAACCAATATACTTGGGATAGAGCACTCTTTTGGGAGAAGATGCACTCACTTAAAAACTTTAAAACACATCCACAACAATATAATGGTGCTGAGCTGAGGCAGGATATGCTCACCTTTTTGCGAACACCTGGTATCATCACTACTTGTTAGTGATTCATAAACACACGCTTGTCATTTAGTCGGAATTGTACAATAGACTCGACTTTTAGCAGAGATTTCTTATGAATATGGAATTGGTCTTGACTTTTATTTATTGTTTTTCGCAATTTGCACGCCTCAGTTTGCAGTGATTTTACAGTCAGTCA